TTAAAGACTAAAACCACACCTCAAAATGGTGTATCTCTCCCTTAAAGAGGTAGGCCAAAGTTGGATCAAAAAGAAAATTTGGAACAATAACATGAAAATAAGATGTTAATAAAAATGAAATGATTTTGTACATGTGTCAAACATTTTTTTTGTTAGTAATTTTAATGGGATATAGTTATCTTGATAACTGTATGTAATAACTCAAAAAAGCTCAGTCTTAGCTGCTCTTTGGGGAGATATTGGGGAGATATTATGGGAGGTGGCCTTGTCGGCTCAGTGGATAATCTGAAAGTCCTGGATTTCATTCAATTAAAGCTTTAGACGAGGACTTTTCAACATGGGGGTATTTGAAATTTTTGGGGGGCAATGACACAATTTGTAATCTTGCATATTTTTTGTACAATTATGATTAAAGTTGTTATTCAGTCAGATAAAATTCTCTGACATAAAAAAGATTGCAGGGAAAACCTAAGAGAAAATCACGAAACTGTTTTGAGGGGAAGTGGGGCAATACAATCGGTCTCAAGGCAGTGGTGGAGCCAAAGGGGGGGGGTTAGGGCTGAAGCCGCCCCCCTCCTCGCAGCCCCGAAAGCAAGTTTTTCAGGCAAAAATCTCGTAACTAGGTTAGAAATTCGAGCAATATCGGAGGTAAACCTGCCCCTGCCACTGGGTCAAGGATCTTAAAAGGGTAATATTATTGAGGATTGAGAAATATGGAAGAATGGAAGAAATGCAATAACTTCTATCAGAAGATTGATTTTCCAGATATTTTAATTTTGTAAAAGATGATGTAGTGATATGTAGATGTGTATTTGATTTGTCTTCATGAGATCAATGATTTAAAGGAAATCCTTAGACCAATTATTGTTTTTAATCATAGAATCGTTGTTTGAAAAATTATACCTTAGTCTCAGAAACAGGAATTTTTTTGCTAAGTTAATCACTAATAGTGTTCACAGCTTACTGTTCAAATCCATGTTTATCCAGAATCATTGGCTGTTGAAAGTTAAAATGACAACTGTCTTTTCTTGAGACTCTTGACATAAAATGTTTTAGAAAAAACATAATATAGGAATTATGCATTTTTCGTACATTTCTAGTACTTCTGAAGACTATTTACATATACTCAAGACCAACCTCAACCCATGGAAATGGCGAACCTGTTCCTTTAAGAACTAACATCTGACATAAATTAGTATTAAAAATTAAAAACATTTCAGATTTATTTCATATACTACTCTATTTATTCTCCTTCCTGGATTCTCTTCATAAGTCTTAAAAGGACAAATGTGCCATTTTGGGTGGTTGATTTGAGTATGTTTATAGACTTCAGAAGTACTTGAAATGTATGAAAATCACATAATTCCTTAAAAAATACTTCAAACTAGGAATTTTACCCACAATCTATCACAGAATATAAGAGTCATTTTAACATTCAAACGCAGATAATTCAGGAAATACATGGATTTGAAGGCTCACATTTCAACGGTGAGCTGTGAACACTATTACTGATTGGCTTAGCTAAAAAGAATTCCGTTTCTGAGACTAATGTATGATTGGTCAAAAAGAATAGCGCACATGTCCCTTTAAATGATATGGAGAACTTGTACACTCTACCAATTAACTTCTGTAGTACAAAAAAAGACTTTGCATTTCCTTTAATATTATAGAGAGTGGTATTTCTTCCAAAGGTCAAAATCTTTTTTTACATTTTCCTCTTTCCTGAGTTTGACAGCTTACCAATCATTTTATATAAGAAGAGAATTCATTACAAATCATTGGAGAATTGTGTGATAATAACAATTTCAACTTTTGACAAAAGGAAAGAAGGAACAATTTTCCTCTTTTATTGGCATCATTCCTCAGGGAAATCTTTGCAATTTTTCCCCAAAAAATTCATAAGATTGTTTATAAACATTTTAAGGTCTATGTTCAGATTATTAGCAGATTTCTAGTCAATTTGAGAGATAATTCTTAGAATATTTCTACTATCTACTGCTGTTAGAAAATTTCTAGTGTATTTGATAGATTATTCTTAGAAGATTTCTAATGTATTTGATAAACTATTCATAGAAGATATTTAGTGTATTTGATAAACCATTCTTAAAGATTTCTAGTGTATTTGATAGACTATTCTTAGAAAATTTCTAGTGTATTTGATAGACCATTCTTAGAAGATTTCTAGTGTATTTGATAGACTGTTCTTAGAAGATTTCTAGTATAGACTATTCTTAGAAGATTTCTAGTGTATTTGATAAACTATTCATAGAAGATATTTAGTGTATTTGATAAACCATTCTTAAAGATTTCTAGTGTATTTGATAGACTATTCTTAGAAGATTTCTAGTATATCTGATAGACTACTCTTAGAAAATTTCTAGTGTATTTGATAGACTGTTCTTAGAAGATTTCTAGTATAGACTATTCTTAGAAAATTTCTAGTGTATTTAATAGACTATTCTTAGAAGATTTGAGTGAATTTGTCCACATTGGCTAAATGCTAGACAGGAAAAACTGCACTTCAATGGTATAGGATTAAGTCTTCATTAAATATTTTTTACCAAAAACAAACTGTTGAAGAAAGTGAAATTTCAAGTTTTAGGTTTATTTGAAGGAATTATGCAATTTTCATACATTTCTAGAACTTTTGAAGACTATATACATATGTTCAAGATACAAATCACTTCTAAAAAATGGTGAACCATGACCTTTAAGGTGCCTGAAAGATGCCTAATGGAAGAACACTAATTTTGATTTCATTTTGAATGAGTTGGTGGTATTTAAAGAAGTTAAGGAAGTTAATCTTATAGGACTGATAGAAAATGGCAGATTAATTGAAGATTGCCTTCAAGTCTTCAGCTTGACATTTTAAGAATAAGAAAAGCTTTCAGAAACGGACATGCAAATCACAATCTCTTTTATTGGCATTTAATTTCTATGACTTGCAGTAGACATGTAGTGATTTATTCTAGAGAGACGATAGAATATCAGGAACCAAAGAAAGAATCTTTTATGCAATCAACATTTATGTGAAAGTTTTGTTTTCAATTCTCCATTAAACTTTATTGATCTCTTTCAAATAATTAAATATTGATCCTTTTATGTTGGGTTTCTCAATTCGAAGTCACATCAAATTTTCGGTTGATAGCTGAATAAGGCTTTTAATGAATAAACATAACTTGAGTAGGTGGATGTAGAAAATGAAATCCATTGAACTTAAACTTGTTTGTTAAACTAGATTGCTTACTTTGCATATTTTTATTCCAGTATTGGAAAGTTATGCTCTCTTTCAAAAACTATTTGAGTTGATGAGGACTCCTTATCCAAAACGCAAAACAAGAATTATATCAATTAGTGATGAGTTTTGTAGAATATTCTCGTTCTTGATTTCTTACTCCTGTTCAGTGACTTTCTTGACTCTTTCGACTTGAGTTCTATGTTGGAAAGGTAACTTCCTTTGTCAGTACCATGACGAAATATACAGAGCCTTAAATGCAGCTGTGTTTGTCAGACTTAGTGTAAACACGAGGTTGATAATGTATGTAATGCATCCAAATTAATTTAGATGACATTTCAACAAGTGTTAGTACTTTTTGACTAAACTACTTATTCTTTCCTGTATTTAATTGTTGTGGAACATGATGTCAGTTTTTTTCCTTGAAAAGTGATGCAGGTGGCTGAAGTTTAGCTTATAAGCTGATAATGCAGATAAATTATTTACTTAAATTATAGTAATTAAATATCTTGGAACAAAGTTTGTTAAATATGAATAATTTATATATTTCAGTATTTGAATGTGGTGTGGAATTAAAAGAAGATAGCAGACAATCATCTTGTAATAACTATGACTTCTGCTTCTCATCTTCTGATTTTTGCTGTCTTATTAGTATCTGGTGAGTTTAATTAGAACTCTTCAATTTGAAAACAACAAAGTGAGTCTGTGGTTGGGAAAACTTATTTAAATATTTAACATGATATCAAGATCGTTCAAAATTGCTTTGGACTGTTCATTTCTTAATTAGAACTCTTCAATTTGAAAACAATAAAGAAATGGTGCTGTAGTAATAGGGGTTATATTATCCTCAAATCCAAAATGAAATCCAGATTCCACAATTAGTGGATCATCAGAGTGCGTTACGCAATATTATAACTATATTTGATATCTAGTTAAACTTACCTTTCAGGGAAATAATAATAATTGTCTAGATATTTGCTTTACAATTTATGAAAGCTCTATCCTGGCTTATTTAGAAAATCATAGTGGTTAAAATGAAAGTCTGAATATCCAGGGTCTCATTCTATTACTAACAAACCTGATGTCAGATTTTAAATCTGGAAAGTGATTAAGGCTTAATTCTGTCTATTGGCAATTTCAATTTGAGCATGATACTGATTATACGGAAAAATCTGGCCTATCCTGCCTCTGACGTGATATTCAGATGGGATATCAGAACTGGGTTTAGGCCCAGACATATATATGGATTTTCATTGGAGTTGCTCCGTCCCATTTTTGGGCTACTAGTTTTTGAGAATATTTTAATATCATGTGGGAGAAACTTGGTAGGGCCAGATTTTTATAGCTAGATACTGATATGTTAAGGTTTCTTATGACTTCACTTTGAAGAAAAACATGATTTATTCATTTTAAAGGTTGTTGTCTGGTTATGTGTTTTGACGGATTCATATTTTGTGATCTAATTGATAGTTTGTGATCTGATTCATATTTTGTGATCTGATTCATATTTTGTGATCTGATTCATATTTTGTCTCTGCTTTCAGATTGTTACTGCGAGAGTATCTTGATTTCAAGTCAGTCCATTGATGTCAACAATGAACACCCTTCTCTTCAACATAACAGTTGGATTGACACCCTAGAGACCAGTAGCCAATTTAATCCTTCATTAGTTCAAGGATTAACATCACCCTTGACAACCACTTCTTACAATGTTCAACAAGAAAGTCTGAGCTCCATGGATTATCTCCCTTTAGTGAAGCCAACAATGTCGTCTGCTTACTCGGGGTTTAAAAACGACACAAAGTCAACTGAAAGTGTTCTCATGAATAGTTTAAATAGTAGTGATTTGCCCTTGTCAATTCAAGGCGCTAATCATTTCTCTAAACATTTCACTGATGATCAAGTATTGGTGTCGAGTGTAGGAAATTTGGAGGAATTTTTAACGGAATTTGAAAACAATCAAATAAAATCAATAGAGAATTATTTGGAGCAATCTAGTCTTGGTATCCATAGCAACCAACTAACTGCATTAGATAATTTTGAAATTTTGAACACAGAAGATGTTTGGCCTACTGGGACTATTTTCACACCCGAACTTAACAGTATTACACATTCCATTGATGTCCCCGTCAGTTCAACACCTTTGAATATGGATACAAATGATTTCCGTGCTGAAACATTTGAAGTAAAACATACCGGTCAAATCTCAAATTTCAATACTCAAAGGCTGCTTGAGCCTAGTGAATGGAGGGCAGACATATTCCCTTCTGTGGCTTATGACGAGGCTTTATTTAGTGCCTTCTCTGTTTCCAATACATTGGAATTTGATTATGGTATTTACAATATGGAGAGTGCAAACATTCAATCAAAAGAAAAAGAGTTCTCTAGTTCAATTTCTGGTGTCAGCCCAATGGAAAGTGACTTTGATATGTTACTCCTTTCAAGTTTTCAAGTCATTCCTTCATCATCTCTAATAGGCCTACATTCCATGCAAAGTTTTTCATCAGAAAGAAGTGAAGCCATATGGTCACAAACAGAAATCATTCCCTCAAGTCAGGATTTTTTTATGTCTTTTCCATCTGAAAGTTACTCTCCCAGCAGCAGTCAAATCATTCCATCAGAAGTTTATAATTCAAGCTCTATACCAAGGGAAATAACTCTAGAAAGTAGCTCAGTTGGTGCACTAAATGAAATGTCTTCTCATAGTGACATTCTCATATACCCTATAACATCATTAACAGCCAATGATACATCATCATTGCTTCTTACATCATCCTTGCCTGATATGCTACCTACAACTGATATACCAACAACTACAATGGCTATGCCAACTACTGCAACTGATATGGAAACAACTGCAACTGATATGGCAACAACTACAACGGCTATACCAACTACACCAACTGCTACTACCATAACCACTACCACAGGCAAAGTTGTCTTCAAAGATTGTCGATTTTTATTCACATTTTCTGGAGACTGCCATTTGATTATAAATAATACTTTATATTTGGCAGAATTTATCGAAGGTTTAAGAAAAACGCTTGTGGAAACTTTACACATTTCAAATGACAGAATGAAACCTCATGATATTTCTTGTGGCTCCATTAAAATTTATGTCACATTCAAAAATGTTTCTTATCCAGAATTCAAACGAAGAATAGAATACGTTGTGGAGGGAAGAAACTTTATTGTACCTACTTACATTGAAAATGTTGTGGTCACATTTACAGCTCTGTCAGTAGAGGAAGTGGCATTACCACCTGGCGATGTGGATAGCTCGGATTTACCACAACGTGGTATTGATAATATTGATATTATTGTGATTATAGTGGCATGTTGTGTTTGTGGTATTTTAATCGTGATAGGAATTACAGTATGTGTTAAAGAATGTTACAAGAGAAAACATGCTCAATCATTTGATCTGTTGGACATGCCCCATGTGAACTTAAAACTGGAAGATTTCACTCTAACGAGAATCCCCAGACCTAAAACAAATTATAATACCGATAATGTGACAGCAAACCCTTATACCGATCGCTACAATCAACAAACTAAGAAAGAAAATGGTCAGCAAGTTTCAAATGGAAATCACATAGACTTGAAAGATGTTCATGTAAGAATGCAGCCATTGAAAAATGAAGGAATAATAGTTGGTGTGACAGGATATGCTTCTGCTAATGGTGCACCACGCAAGAAAAAACGTGCACCTTCAGCTTCATCAAGGCAATCTCATGAGGATCATTTACGTGGAGATCCTTCCACTGAAAGTCTGGTTCCTGAAACCAATTCCTCAAGCATGGGAGCATCAAATCCAATCTTTGTTGATGATGAACAAGGCTCTACTTCTACTTTAGATGTCAATCGATCTTACCATTCCTGAGAAATGAGTGCCATAATAAATAGCTTCAAGTCAAAACAGATATCTTGCCCCCCTCCCCCCTCTCATTCCACTGTAAATTGTATGTTTGTGAACTGAATTAAGTGTCTTGTTATAGTGACATTCTACCCTGTATCAGCAATTATGTTAAACATTTCAGTCCTTTTCGAGGATCCAAATAATATTTATAAGCAAAATATGCAGGCTTTAAATATTTTCTGATTTGATGACTAAAGTGAAAGTTGCAATATAATGGTTTTGTTACCATGGATACTAAATGTTAACAAACTGATAGTTAAAAACTATGATGACAGTTAATTGATATTTATACACGCAATATTCTGCCATTTTCTTGTCAAAAGTGTTCATAAATAGACATTGAAATTGTCATATTCCAATTTTATTTGTATATAAACTAGATATTCTGAAGGTGATGTCCCAGATATTAAAAATGCCAACTCATGTAATGCATATATATAAAAAATATTGAAAATGTCTTAAAACACTTATTTATTTTGACTTCAAGCTAGTTAATTAAGATCCAATCTGCTTCACTTTCCAAGCATTTGGATAATCAAAACTACAAAATTGGGAAATACAGATCCAAAAAATGTTTATATTGAGGAAATCTGGATAATGAAGACAACATATACTAGGGAAAATGGTAATGCATTACTTCAGAAAAATGTGCGCCTTAAAGATGGGTTTCCTTATTTTTTACTGTCAAATTAAGAAAACCATTTGATAAATTGGTATTTCTAATGAATTATCATGTATTCTTAATCATATTATTACTATTGGATATAATGTATGTACAGTCTGGATAATCAAAAAAATACTTTTTGACCTTTCTTGATCGGTCACTCATTGGAATTTTGCTGTTAATTCTCTTCTAATTTAGCTAAATATGAATTAATTATGGTCATGTGAGACAAACTGGTAATTTTCCAAGTCATGAGAACCCTTCTACTTCTAGTATTAGCATTTTCATTTTCATAAAGGAAAATAAGGCAACCCATCTTTAAGATGATTAATCATATGGGAGAAGAGTATTCTAGAAAACTAGAAAATTAATGTTATCAATCATTGTTTATATGAAATCCACTAATTGTTATTAAATGAAATAATATATTAATGTAAATATTACTGTAAATACGTCTATTTTTATACTGTCATGTATATCACAATCATATCATTGTAATATTTATAATACATGTATTGTATATAATAAATACTCCTGATGTTCTGTATGACTTTCTCACTACAATCAGAAGAAAAATTGAACAGAACGTGCAGCATCATTACAGATTATTTAGTCATAAGGTTTGGTTCCAATATTTTGTTCAGGAATTAAATCATCTCACTTGATAAGAAGATCATCTGAGAGAAAAAAATAATTTTCTGTTGACCATTAAACTTTTTGTGAACTATATGTGGTACAGCATGTTGGGCAAGACATATTGTTCAGACATAGGGTATCATGTACCAAGTCAGTGGGAATTTGATAAACAGTTTGCCATTGGTCACTTCTTAAACGCCCTATCAATTAAATAATGTACAAAAGAGAAAGAAAAAAAGAAACAACTAAATTTTACAAGGATAACCACTTAGGTTCACAGAATCTCAGTTAAGAATCCTTTCTACGAGCTGGTCCTTGGCCAAACCTCTTGGCATTGATCTTTCTCGGATTATCCCTACCCATTCACAACTGGGTTGACTGGAATTATGAATGGAGGTGACTTATTCAAGGTCATTGGACTATTACATGCCGAACCCACAGCCGCCATTCGTTCGACGTAACCAACCAAATGATGTAGGTTCAATAAATCTCTCATTTGAAATGTATTCCAAATTAGCATTTTGGTCAAGTCAATCATGCTCCACTGAGTTACAATTTGATCCAGGCTTTATTCAAAATAATCTAGGGGATTTTCATAGCTATGCATATCAAGGACACTTAAAAAATATTTAATGCTATTCCTATCGATTTGGCGTCAATTTTTTTCTGGATTTACACTATATAAATGTCTCAATACACATAAGGCAAGAAAACCTCTTATCAGTCCCTTGTATCTTTTAACTAGAATATTCCACACATCAACAACACAGTAATGTAAATGAAACAATTTATTGGAGACAAAATAAAAACAAAACATGCATATATAGAAATTTGCAAAAAATAATGTAACTTGACAAAGAACAAAAATTAAACTGGATGCTTCCAAAATACAAGAGATTGCCATGTATACTATGTTTAAAATTAACACATCAAATGTTAATCAAGTCTACAACATTTGTGAACATCCAGGGATATTTCAAAACAGAACCAATAGACTGAAATTGGGAACTGACTTTAAACCTATCCAATATAAAAAATAGTTGTAACTAGTCAGGATTTGAATATCCCTTATTTTTGCTTATGTCTAGTTTTTTTTTTTGATCATCCAGTTTGTTGTAACCAAATGATGCCTAACACATACTTAGTAAAACATGAAAGTGAAATGAATCAATGGGAAATAAATCTGATCAATTTAAACTTTTTATCAGGATCAGGAAATAAAGTTACAAAATTTCTGCATTGTAGAGATTTGTTGTTGATTCATGTTTTGTAAGTATGCATTGACAAATAAGATGAATTCAATAATAACATCAATAATGATCAATTCTAATTTTCAGTACTAAATACAGTAGAAAATGTAATATAGTTACTGTATTAAGATGGAATAATCCAAAACGATCTCTTTATGGATTGGCTCTCCTAAAGAAGAATTGGGTTAGAATAAACACTAGAATTATTTTGTTTTGATCACCATTTTAAATCTTTCGACTTATACATACTTAATTAACAATTGAATTAATCTTCTGAGGATTAGCAAATTGCCAATATTTCAAAAGTTTGAAAAGATACATACGTAAATATTTTGATTTTAAATTGATGGGACTAGAGTATTGTCAAATATGACTAGGTGGGTGTATAAAAACTATAATGAGTATTTAATCATAATCTCTTACAGGAGATAAACAAATATAAAAACAGCATCAAGAAGCACAGTTCTTTGGCAAATCTAAGCATAAATAATAAGGGTATACTTTAATAGTTACATCTTAACAATATCAAGTTATTACAAGCTGTCCCTAATACCTTGACTTCATTGGGCTCTTTTGTTATATCCAAAGCGATTGGATTGAATGCTAGCGAATACAGCCATTCATAGCCCTCAATAGAAAATCTAAACTATAAATCATAATGATTACTATCTTTATGTCAATTGCTCTTATTGGCTGTATTCACAAGCTTACATTCCAATCAAATTACTACATTGCATGATGCAAGAAAAGAGCCAAATGAAGTCAAGGTATAAGACTCTATTCTTAATATCTTGACATTGTAAAGATGTTGTAAGAAGAGCAAACATGAGAACTAATGGCTTATTGTCTGTTGTTTGCATCTTGGGTTATTATATAGCTTATCTCTCACTCAGGAAAGCAAATCAAGAGGAACTTAAGGCATATATTTTTATAGATTGAAGCAAAATTTTATATGAAACTCCAAAGCCCAAAAGTTTTGTTTTGAATATTGAATTTGTGGAGCCCACTATCAAATATCAAATATGATGACCTCAGCATTTTTTTTAATGAACCATCTCATTCTTTCAACAATATTTTGTGTATAATAATGCTTAATGTGAAGCTGGAGATGCAAAATTGCATAGGCCTATAGGCAGAGCAGAACCCCAAAACTTTGGAGCAAGACAAAAGTTATTTATGGGCAGTAATATATGAATGCAAGTTATAGGCTAAACAAAAAAGAATGAAAAATATATAACAATAAAGAACAATAATACTGCAACAAAATGGAAGGCAAGAATACAAGATGGAAGATATATAACAATAATAATATGAGCACTTTTTTTTTCTAGAAATATAAAATTTGCACTAGCATGTGATGAGCAGAAAAATATTTATCTACAAAAAATATATACAAATTTGTCATTCAAATAAAGATGTCATTTATTGCTGGCAGCAAATATCCAGGTATTTTGAAGCCTTATTAAAGGGACAGATGCGCCATTTTGGGGGGTTGATTTTAGTTTTGAAAATAAGTAAATAGTCTTCAGAAGTACTTGAAATGTACCAAAATCACATAATTCCTTTAAAAATAACTAGGAATTTTACTCACTATTTCTATATATGTCTTTTCTATATATCACAGAGTATCTTAAAATAACGAGTTGTCATTTTAATATTCAGATAATTCTGGACATACATGGATTTGAAGGCTCAAATTTCGACGGTGAGCTGTGAACACTTTTACTGATTGGCTTATCAAAAATATTCCCGTTTGTGAGACTAAAATACGATTGGTGAAAAAGAATGGCGCATCTGTCCCTTTAAGACTCAATTCATAGCTGAAGCAATAGCGTTTTTAGGAAACTTTAGTTAAGGGAGCTAAGCAGGGGCCACAAAATTTCGAGGGGGGCACAGGTTATTGTTTCACTATGTAAATTGATAAAAAATGTGAAGGGGCAAAGCTGTAAAAATGTCACGGAGATGAAGCAGCATTGGAGAAAATTTTTCTTTTGAAATTAAGGTTCAAATTTGAGCAATTTGAGATTCATCTGAAAGATATGGGAAATATATAGAAACTATAGTGATAAACTATAATCAGACACAACAAATTTCAGCAATTTTCTATCAAATTTGGGTCACTGTTGTTTGACAGAATTTGAGTTCCTTTTCCAAAAGTTGTATAAAATTATAAGATAGGAAGGTAACAAAGCTTACACATATATAATACAAACAAAAAGTGAAATGAAAAAATAACAAAACATAAGATATATAACAATATATAGAATTTAACATGTCTGATTTAGATGTCATAGATCAGAATAAAAAGAAACTTGAAATTCTAAAATTTTATCCAAAGTAATAAAAATTAATATTTGGGGTTTTATTTCACATGAAAATTTGTAATTATTCATGTTCTCTTCTTGTGATATTTTCTAGTTTAAAGGGACAGGTTCGCCATTTTCTGCTGATGATATTAGTCTTGAATATAAATAGTCTTAAGACGTACTGTAAATGTACGAAAATTGCATATTTCTTTCATAACTAAGAATTTCACTTTCTATTACTATATATGTCTTTTCTATATATGGCAGAGTCCCAAGAACTTTTAACTTTTTAACGTAGATAATTCTGGACACATGGATTTAAAGACTCAAATTTCAACGGTGTGAACTATGAACACTATTACGGATTAGCTTAGCTAAAAAATTCCAGTTTCTGAAACCAAGGTACGATTGGTCGAATGGATAGCCAACCTGGCCCTCTAAAAGTAAAAATCTTTAATATAACATGGTTATGTTTTGAATAATGAAAGAATAACTCTTAGTACAGAGTATTTATAGTAATGTTTTCAGTAAATAAACTATATTACAATATAAAATATCAAAACAAAACAATATATAAAATGTGCTATTGTGACAATATAATATATAAGTAAATAATTTGATTTTCAAAGCTCTAACAACAGATCTTGTAATTTAATCAGAATCTATCCATGACAAGACTGATGTAATATTTTGAATATTATCTATCCATGACAGGACAGAACTAATATCTTGATCAGTATCTATCCATTAAATACAAACAAATCTCATATTTGAATCAGTATCTATCCATAACAGATCTATTATATTGATCAGTATCTATCCATGACAGGTCAATTGATCTTAAATATTGGTCAGTATCTATCCATGACTTGACAACAGATCTGATACTTTTATCAGTATTTATCCATGACAGGTCAACTGATCCTATATTTTTATGAACATCTATTCATGAGAGAAATCCAAATCTAATATTTATAAAAGTATCTTTCAATGATAAATATGGTGTACAATAATGTGCTCAGATCTATTTCCACTTGGGAAAGGTTGAAGACTTCAACTTGAAGTATGAATAAATATGTGTTTCCAAACATTTTCTTAGTTAAAACTTGAAAAGACTTTTTAAGACTAGAAATGTTGCCTTCAATCGTTCTCGAGTTTCATACTGTCTTACTAGACAAGATCTGACACAAAAATGGGCCATAATCCAATAGAGATAATATCAAATGGTACAACTTAAAATGGAAGCATGAAAAAATGGATTTCATATCGTTCATCAACTAAAACTTTAAATATATTTAACAGGATATAGTCATCTAAATATTTTACTAACAGACGTCTTTTCAACTATCTGAGGCACTTTCCTGAATCAATAATCCTGTAATAAAGAATTAAACAGACCCAAACAATTTTGTTGCTAAGGATCTAACGTGTGGTCAGAACAGTCCTAAAATTTGTCAAAACGGACCCACATATAAAGTTTGATTTTAAAATTCTGTTTAGTCTTCATTTCAAATAACTATAATATCATCAAAGTATTTTATCATCAATTCAAAAAAGTAATACAGATAGCTGAAATCGAGCTCTGTAAGCTAGTTAATATTTAGATGACTAAGCTTATATTCTACATTCAGTTTTGTTATAACTTATACATCTATCTAGTATACATGTATATCTATCAATTCTAATTCTTCTATTGTCAACTATAAATTCTATATATATCATATATTCTTTATAAATAAACTTTTGAAATTCGATGAATAAACTTTGGCAATATAAACTATATAAGATTTTACCTGGGTTGTTATTCAAGGCAAATATTGTCAAACAAATTCTTTGTTAAAGCTGATCAAGTTTTATAAATAGACCACTATCATTCCAGTTTGACATTTTTCTGTTTCATTCAGAAAACAAGGTGGTCTGGTCAATTAATTTTTATACTTAATTTTACTAATTATAAATCTCTTTGAAATCTTTAAAGGGCAGTCTACCAAACACAAAAACTAGATCAAGCTGCATAATCCACAATTAGTAGGCTCTGTTTTAATTAGCCCTTTTTAAAGAAATTCAGGTTGATCAAGTAGATACACAGACGTAAATAGCATATTATAGAAATATTATAGAAAGTTAAATAAACAATGTTTCATAATAAAAATTTTGCATACTGCCTCTTTAACTTGAGGGACTTTTCAAACTTTTCATCTAAATTTGGAATGAATACTTTTATGAATTCTCTTTCAAACTTGACCTTGAGTGACAGTAACAAATCGACCCAAAAAAATATAATCAAATACGACAACAACTAAAAGTTGAAATAGGTGTTGAACCACCAGTAGGAAATTCAGTCTTATCTTCAGTATCCAGTAGATTTTCTTTAGCTTTCTTCGTCAGGCCTTTAGCAATATCCATAAACAGTTTCTCTACGTTATCACTTTGTTTTGCTGAAGTTTCTAGGAAAGTCATATCATGTCTTTGTGAGAACTGTTCTCCAATATGTGTTGGAATTTCTTTAGCATGTTTATCTATTTTGTTCCCTGAAAAAATAAAAAAAATTAAATACATCCAATAAAATAACAAGGAGCTTTTTTTTTTATATATATATCTTGAGCCAATTGTTTCTAAATCTCTAGTAGACAATTAAAACCTTTGTTAAAAGTAGGCTTTTAGAGAATTTGATTGGTTGAATATTACATGACCAAGAAAGTGAGATGCAAAACAATTTCGCCAGATCAAGCATGACTAGTAAAAGCACAAATAATCATCCATTGACTTAAACTGATGACTCGTCTTTTCTCTCGACCTTGCCATATATTGAGATTGAGTATATTTGAGGGAATTATGGGATTTTAGTGCTGTTCTGGTACTTCTGAAGACATATTCAAGATCCAAATCAACTTCTGAAAATGGCAAACCATCGCCGTTAAAATGACTGTTTTAAGATACTTACCAACTAAGAATGTTAAGACTTGTGTACCAGCATATAGTTCTATTTCATTTAACCATTGTGGAAGACTTTCAAACGAGTTTTGACAGCAAACATCATAAACTACTATTAAAGCATGAGCTGCTCTATAATAAGCCTGAGTTATAGCTCGAAATCTTTCCTGACCAGCTGTATCCCATATCTGTAACTATAAATATAAAACATATTGATAACAACTACTACTGAAAGGATTACAAAGAAAGAATCAATCAACCATAATTTAGAATGATAACACCTTAGGTTCACAAGGATCTTTTCTACAAGTTGGTCCTTGGCCAAACCTCTTGACGTTAATCTTTTCATGGATTATCTGTACCCATTTACAGTTGGGTCCACTGGGATAATGAGGAACGATGACAAGGTCACCAGACTTCTGCATGCCAACCAAAATTAGAACTCAAGACTACCATTTGATCGACACAATCAACCAAATGATATGTTAGTTTCCAGCTCTCTTACCGACTTTGCTACAAAAGCCAAAATAACTGATGAATTTTATTGAGTTCTAAAACATAACAGAGATATTGAATTTTCCTGTTTTATAATCAGACAAATCCAAGGACTTATTATCTGAGTCTATCTCTATCATTCAAACCATGTAGTCTAGATTATCTCACATCAATAATTTCAGAGTAATTACCTTCACTTTTTCTCCATCTACTTCAACTGTTTTAATCATAAAATCAACACCAATTGTTGCTCCTTGACCAGGTGGAAATAGTCCCTAAAATATACCATATATCAAATGTCATTCAAAAAAATAGTTGCAGATTGGTGAACGTCGATATTTGCCATTTTTCAATGACCATTTTTTAGTTAGTTCTCTCAGCCAAGCCACAATACCTTTTATTAATCAAATATTACACAATTTATTACCTTTGTGAAAAGTAAAGTTTTTAATACAAAATATAAAGATAGTTGATACAATTCAAATATTCCCACTATATGAGTTGAGCTGAGACAACATAGTTTTGATTTTTTTTTTACAGATTTCATGAAAATTGGTGAAACCAAGAAACTGAAACCTTTACCATTTTCAAACTGTTGTAAACTGATAAATTTGGAGAGTTTTGTAAACTGATAAATTTTGAGATAATTGTAAACTGTTCAATTTTGAGATTATTGCAAACTGTTCAATTTTGAGATTATTGCAAACTGTTCAATTTTGAGATTATTGCAAACTGTTCAATTTTGAGATTATTGCAAACTGTTCAATTTTGAGATTATTGCAAACTGTTCAATTTTGAGATTATTGCAAACTGTTCAATTTTGAGATTATTGCAAACTGTTCAATTTTGAGATAGAAAACTGTTCAATTTTGAGATTATTACAAGAGATAATTCCAAGATTGTTGCAAACTATTCAATTACGAGATTGTTGCAAACTATCAAAGTCCTCACTTGATCTGCATTTTTTATGATATACCTATTAATCAAATCTGTTGAAGGCTATTAAGAAAAGATTTTGTAAATGAGAGAGAGTGTCAATATCACAGGAGTTAATATTCACAATTTAAGATCTCAAATTTGAATTTATCGTTAATATTATATTATGCATACACATACCAAGTTTTATCATAATCACATAAAGTCTAGAGCATTAAACAAGAAAATGGACAAAAATACACGCTTATATAGGCTGATGTAGGCATCTATAGATTGTAGAAAATTCATTTTAAATTATGGCTGCCATAACTAGGAATTGTAAAGAGGTTTTCTAAATTTTTTTATGTGTATCGGGGACACTGACAGCATCAATTTGCACCATTCCAATTATCAATCAGACGTCTGTGGTTCCTACAATTCTACTAAAACTAAGTAATTGATGACGTCACTATTTGAAAAAGTCCTTATGTGATAAAGCTTATTTTGCGATAAGTGACGTCATAAAACACTAAGTTTTAGTGGAATTGCAGGAACCACAGGCATCTGATTGAAATGGAATGGTGTACATTTATGCTATCAGTGTCCCCAATGCACATAAAAATTTAGAAATACTACATATGGAAACAGATCATTATTATTTGTGCTAATTGGCCAATATACAATATTTCTCTGACATGTTTAATGATAGGTGGTAACAGCTTGAAATAATAAGTCAAAATAAAGAGAGATAGATAGATACCAGTAGGCCTACTATTCTAGATCTATTTGATGTAAATACTGTTCATTAAGTGATAGATAGGCCATACAGACAGGTTTTATTTATGATGTGTCAACTTGACAAAAGATTTTTATCTTTAGAACTTTAATTAATTACCTTATACATATATTGCATTCATTAAGGGTAATGGGATTATAGATTATATCATTAACAATGGTCGGTGAAATCATACATTAGGATTAAAACTTGAAAATTGGGTCAGGACAAACATCTATTTTTAAGACAGTTTTTTAGTGGTTTAATCCTACTATGCTAATGAAAAAAACCTCAGGGGGTCATTTCATTGCTATTCAGTCGGTCATGAAATTTTGTGTTCTACTTAGTTAGATAGTGTAATCTTATCTTAAATGAGATATATATAAAGTCAAATGTCACGGATTGTTAATACTAAGTGTTAGCTTACGTTGAAAGTAAAAATAAAATAACACATATTTTGATTTCAACAGCTATTCTACTAAATACAACAACTTTTTGCCTATTTCATGGACCATATTATTTTCTAATCTAGATTTCCAGAATAGAATACACAATTTGTACAAAAGGCAATATATAAAAAAACTTACCTCTGTAAACCTTCTAACTAAACATGTTTTACCAACACCTGCATTGCCTATTAACACTACTTTAAATAAATATTTATAATCTTCCATTTTCCTGTTTAGTAGTAGATGTAGTTTAGATGTAACAGCTGAAAACAACCAATTAATGAGAAATTAGGGATGGCAATCACATAAATAATTATTACAATAACAAGTTTCAGGCCAAACAAGTCTGTGATGCAGGCCTATAATTATATTACAGCTCTTATGATTGTCACTACCTTTTGATTTAAAACAAAATATTGGTGCATAGAGCCACCATGACTTAGCCAAGTGGATTTGGCATAGGCCTTTTGACTTACAGCTTTAGAAGTGATTCATGTCCAATTGGACTCAACAATCAAACAAAGTTATTTGCTATTTAAAAAAATCAAAATGGAAATAGTAACACTGCATCAAAATAACATGCAAATATGCTCACCAACTGATTCAGACAATGTTCTTGTATAACTACTTATTATTATGGGTTGGCAAATTGATGAAAATTCCAAATGCCAGTCACAGTTTTCGCCACTTAGTTAACAGATAATAAGTCAGTGTTGCCAGGGTTTCTAAATAATTTCATAGGGGCTCATCATTTATAATTGATTATAACTCTTCGTCACAATCTAAATAAGTTAACATATCTAATATTTGTCAATTTTTAGATCTGTAAAATTGTCAACGTGAAATAAACAACTTGTAACCGGAAGTTTTTAATGTGCATGATGACGTCATTCAATATAGGCTTAGTCTTCACGACGGAATATTTTGTAATATTTGACAACCGAGTCTACTATTTGTCTTTGATTTGATTGGTTCAAAATGATGTCAGTGCAGCGAAATTGACCAATCAAACGTGAAGAATAGCAAGAACTGCCCACCGCGCAGACCGACAAAGAAGACGGAGAAAGGAAGAACACATTCACTCGACAGTCGAAAATTGTGTCTTGTAACTAAAGTATGTCTCGAAAAAACTAAGCGATAATGAACATTAACATTTGTAACTAGTCGCTGAATTGTTCTGTTGACGAAGTAAAGAAGAAAGATGGATTTAGAAGTAGCTGAAGGTTATAGATCGTCTCTGAAAGATTTGGCTCAAAACAGCAAGCCGTTGATCAACATGTTGACGATGTTAGCCGATGACCATGAGCAGCATGCCTCCATTATTATTGATGTTATCGAGGAACATATCCAGAAGGTTTTTGTTTAAATTTTGTTTTATTCTATTGTCTTATTTTTGTCGCATTTGGTATTTTTCTCCACCCTGCTGGGGAAATCAAATCCAATATGGCGCAGGCTTCGTGTTCGTTCACGATGGGCTCAGTAAACATGCGTGAATGAGGCTTAGATCATATGACAGTCCACGTGACTTCAATAGCAAGCGGTGGTTTCCCACTGAAAAGAATGTAGTATGATAGAATTATGATGATATTTTTTGCTCTATACATTTTCTTTCATCATCGTTATCATATATTCATATCAAGGAATCTAACCTTGTCATAACATAAAATAAATAAAATGTCTTCACTGTTTGTTTCATTTGTGTACTGAAATGATAAAGAAAGATGTATTTGATCTGATTTTGTTTGTGCGCTTAGATTCAACAAATTATGATATTATCATTGGGTACTTAAGTTATTGATGTACAAAATATGCCAAATCAGATCTCACTGAGTTTCTTTATCATTAAAAGTCTTTTGGGGATGGTTTTGATTTTGTCATGTTGAGCAATTGAAAGAGTAAACTCTCAACTGCAGTAGAGAGATCGGAAAAACCTTGCGAAGAAATTGGTTTGGTGTCTTGGCAACATATTGCATCCTTTAAATGCAGTGCCTCGTTGGTTATTGTTAGAAAGACACTTTTAGAAAAAAAAAAGCGGTCATGTCTAGTATGTCAGACCAAAAAAAGTTATCAATTTATAAAATTACAACAGTTCATGAATTTGTTCATTTAATTTCACAAACTTATTTTGTAAATTGGATTTTTTTTTTTGGTCTGAACTGGTGACTTGCGTAATTGACTGTAGTAACTTATGTTTACAATTCTAATATCTGTTAATATATGCCTAACATAACAGTAGATACATAGATTATTGTATTTATTGTATTAAAACCTGTTGTTATGGCAAATATTGATGAGTAGTAGATGTGGATTCGTAAGTGATCACTAACGATCTATAAGTCAACATCAGTTTATCCTACTTTTGATAAAGTGGAGAGATGGCTGATGCATATTTATTTAATCTGTAATGCCCTTACCTTTGCGATATGAACTTATACAACCGCGACCCGTAAGTCAATTTACACCTAGTGTATGTTGAATTTGCTGCTTTCCCCAGTACCGTTATCAGCACCGTAGTGTCCTATAATTATTGAATACCAACAGTCTTAAATCTTTCTTTCCTCTCTACAATATTTGTGATTTCACACAATTTAAATTTTTCACATCCACAACAAACACTTTTTAAAACCAACTGAAAAAAAAGCTGCAACACAACAAATAAATTCACAAACATTGGTAAATCTTTTGTTTTTGTCCAGTTTGAGATGAAATTAAAGATTTCCACACATACGTTTCAAGAATAATTTACGTGGCTAGCTAAACTATTGTACACAATTAATTTTGAGCATTTATCTATGGCTACAATGACTTAGCACATGTTGAGACTAGTCAGATTTGAAGAGGATACTTATCAAGTTGTGCATGGTTTAGGAATCATCACCATGAAAATTAAGATTTATTACACATATTTCTCACACTTATCCTGAAACCATGAATTGCTAATCTTGAGCAACCATTTGGAGAAATTGGTTGGTCGGGGATTTTGTTTTCAGCATCAGTATGGTAGAAGGAATTCAATGGTACCAATCATGTACGAGAAGATTTCCAGACAAAGCTAACTTTAGAACTTGCAGGAAGACGATATTGGTGTAATCGAGGAATTCCAGTGGCTGAATCCTGCTGAAAGTGGACCTTTTGAGTTTCTGTTGGTAAAGTATGATTGGAGGGAGGCGATTTCTTTATGTAAATGATTAATTTTATTCTTCAGGTTAAGCCATCTTTAAAGTTACCAGTATTGTATCTTATTGATTCTATCATAAAGAATTTACAGACGTCAACTTATCGTACCTTGTTTCCAGCTCGTCTTGTTAAAATGTTCTGTGAAGCATTTGAAGAGGTCAGCATATGTTGCAGTTGAAAGCTGCAATACATTTTCATTTCTAAACTTATTCTGCGTAATACATTTACTTTGGGTCAGTTGCATCTGTGTTTTTAATTTTTCGGTTTTTTTTTTCACCATTCTATTTAGCATTAGTTGTCTTCTGACAAAATTATGTTATGTAAGGGAAAGAGTGTAAGATTATAGAAGAATGTCCCAAAACAGGTCACAATATTACTGTCGTTGGTTACGTCAAACTGAGTTCTGCTATTGTGGTCTGTACATTTGGAATTCTGAACTATGGTCTATTTCATTACATTAGATTGCCCTGAGTTTCACAATCCTGAACAATCAATGCCCATGCTTATTTGCGACCGAAAGACAACAAAGCTACATTTCCAACTATAAAGAGCTGTTAATATGAAGTACCAGTAACAAATGTTCCTTGATCATATTTGATATAGCTGAAATGGTCAAATGGTACCAAATGAAAGTTGTGATCCTGAGAATACATGTTGAAGCATTGAAAATGTGTTTAGTTTTGGTGAAAAGCATGGGCATGTGAAACCCAATACAAATCCTCATACCTCAAATGAAAGCTTCCAATTTATACCACAAATTTTTTTGGGGGGAAGGTTAAGGAAATGTCATGAAACCTGACCGTTTTCCTTCAGTTTGGAATTCCTTAGTCTGTCTGTCACATTCATCTGATAAATTCAGGTCGCTTCAAAAAAAGAATTTCTACACTGGTTATGGCAGTTATAGAACCTGAAATAGGACATTAATTATAGGTTGAACTTTTCGGATGTGTGGGGAGAATATTTTGAAAAATTCCCTAGTTCCCACTGCACACCCGTTTTTTTAAACTATTTTTCAATGGAATTATATACTTCTAGTCAAATCTTAATTGGATGAATTTAACCTTCCACATGTCTGTCATGTTCACATGGCAACTGCCTTTTCCTTCAATACCCACAAATTATCAAGAGATAATGGACTGTTGTTTTATATGCCCACATTATCAAGATGTTGATGACTCCTTTCCCTTCTTTCTTTATAATTTGAGAGTATAATATTCCCATAGTGTCTTGTGTTTAAGAGAATTGAAAAATTCAATTTTTTTTTCGGACTGAAAGATTGAGAGTTCAGATTTAAAATTTCCATATGTCAATTTGGCAAATAAAGCAAGAATTTGGATATTTTTAATATTATTGAATTTACTTGAAATCGAATGTGTGGTCTGCTTGCAAATCTATAAAAACAAAAGACTCCAATTAAGACTGTTATCACATCCTGGGTGTCATAATTACCTTCGGTGTGAAGTGAAAAAAATACAGGAAATACCCAAGATGTAAGAGTGATCGTCAATTGACTTGGCACGTCCTTTGTTGAATTTGTAGGAAAACAGCACATCCACATTCTGAAAATTCTTAGTCATAGATCACTTAAAGAAAATAAAACAAACAACTACTGTTGAATTTGCAATTATAAATTTTGTGTTATATACTTTAAACAGCAAATCTAAAATTTAAGAGAATTGTCAGCAATCATATGGTCTGATATTTTGTTTCCTTATCTGATTTGTGAAATGGACTTTGTTCTAGATGATCATTCACTGTATGAAAACAGATGTTTCTAGATCAAATTATTCTTGTAGTGAAAGAAAATCACTTTGAATCGATATACCAGTTCATTGATACTTTCAATACAAATTTATAATTTATATTTATACAGAAAGAATAATAGAAACATCATTTCTGTCTTCTGGAAATAGAAAAAGAAATACACAACATGCTATGAGAAAAATGCTATAATTCGAAAATTCATAAAGATTATTATTAATGTTATTTTGTTGATAAAATTCAATCAGGTTTTCAGTTTGACAGAACATATTAAACTTAATTTCCTTTATCCTGAACTACTAGCGTCTAATATTTTAAAATACCAGAATCACGTTATCACTTAACAATTCGGACATAATTCTGGTAAACAATGGCTGCCATTCATTACTGCGATATGTTGTAGAGCACTTGCATATCTTTCACGGTAGGCAGCTTGACATAGCATCAGTAGATAAATGATGAGCTGGAAGCCAATTAGACACAGTAAATTATTTGATTTGGCATGAATTTAAAAACAAATCACAGATCATATCTGCTAAACCTATAATAAGATAATCACCCAACTTTTTCCAACATAATTCTCTTCTAACTGAAATCTGGCCAATTTCAACGCTAAACAAAGCTGATTAAATAAACTAAACACTAGATACATTGCACACAAAAACAATTTCACATTTTCTTATCCCTCATTATGCAATGTAGAGCAAGTTTTTTTCGCACACAGTAGTAGTTAATGTGGCATTATTGTAAGCAATAAATAAACCAAGTACTAACGATCCAAACTGCAAACAAAACCCAAAATTCAAAACAAAACATATTGACAAAACATTGGTAACAGCTACTGAACTTTTCACATGAGATTCTAAAGTAATGCTACTTGCCAGAATTTCCATTGGTACGAACCTGCAACAAAACCTACACAACCATCGTGTATGCCCAAAACCATGTTAAATTATAGTTAGTGTTCAGTCCTGTCATGGGTTGATGATTTTTTCAATGGAGCTTCTCCCTATGCATGTAGCAAGAGCTTGGAAAGAAACTGAAATTGTTGATTGGAACAATAACTTATGCTACATACAGGGCATGGCACGGCACGGAAAGATCCCTTGTTGTTGCCTTGTTAAATTGCACGATGAATTAAATGAAACCGAAAAACAGGATCAGGCTTCTATTGGCTGAACATATCTCTTGCGATCGATTTCATATGCACGCCTCAAACTGAGAATGTTTCTTGTGTGGCCCAGTTTCACCCACATAAAAAATGGGTGTATATTGCCATTTTTTTGATATAAGAATTTTTCTGAAATTTTATGTGATATAGAATATCGGCTTTAAACTAGAAATGATCTAATATGATTGTCTGTGTGCTGGAATTTTTATCACTCAGGTTGTTTACTAATTTAAAGTTCATATTCCGTCTTTTTTGTTCATTTTAGGTAAAACTTGATTTGTTAACGAAAGAAACAAGACCGATATCATTTGATTTCAATGAAATTTTGTTTAAACACTTTAAAGATCTAGTTCTGGTCAAAGTTGACATATACTATGTTCGGATTTTGACATTTTGATGAAGTTTTATGTTGAGTTACTGTGCCTTACTCAGTAATAACTCTAAAAAAGCTTGTTAAACAGACAATAATCATTGTTAGATTTGGATTAGACTTGCTCTATATTTTACTAAATTTTACAAATCAAAGAGAGCTGAAGAGAAAGAGGTTAAACACCAAAGGGATATTAAATCCTCAATATTCAGCATTCAAATTTAGCAGTCGAACGTTCAATACCAGATTGGTGTTTTGAGTGCATGCTGGAATGGAAATTTTGAAGGAGCCAAAAAGTCAAATAAAATTCCGCTGATTTGAAATAATACCCATTTGATTTATATTATTCCAATCTGGTGCAGAATGATTGCTGTTATGCTGGACAGGGGGGATCCCTTTAAAAAATTTTCTAAAATAATATTCTTCTCCAATCCATGTGATTATTGGTTTTCAATATAACTATGGTAATCAATTGTATTTAAATTTTTCATTCACCTATACAATGCAACTGACCCAAAGTACATCTTTTTTTCACATCTGATGATTTTGGCATTCTAGTCATCTGATTGGTCTGTAACTGAAATCGGTTTAAAACCCAGCTGTATACACTGGTCAGATTTCTGAATTTATAAAAAGGACTCAAAACAAGGAAATAATTTTATTAATCTTATTTATCCTCATATTGTTTAGGTTGATGAGAAAACCAGACAAGCCATGTTTAAACTTCGACAGACCTGGGCCAATGTTATACCCAATAATAAGTTATATGCAATAGATGTAAGAGTTAATGCATCAGATCCAGCCTGGCCAATCACAGCTACTGCACCAGAACAGGGCAGCATACACGTTAATCCAAAATTTCTGACACAGGTAATGAATATTTATCCTTTTTCGTCAAGGTGCAAGCTAGAGAATCCATGAATAATAATAGTAATTTAGCTTTTTAATATTACCTAGATTACTATCCAATGATTTAGATGCATTTACAGACTTCTGTGACACAATTCAGGTGGCTATTGCAGTCAAGGTATAAGAAATAGTTAATTGGATATTAGTTTTTAAAGGTTGTTTTTTTGTTTTAGGAAAAGAAAATAGCAGCCACTACACTACCTCCAGTTCAAGAAAGTGCTGAAGATATAATGCGAAGACAATTGTTAGAAAAACAACAAGAACTTCAAAAGTTAAAACTAGAGTTAGAACTTGCAGAAACTACAGCTAAACTAGAGCAACAGAGAAAACAGGTATGTTTCACTTCGACTGTATTTGCTAAGACTACTTGCTATTCGTTTTGAAATTTAGTCATTTCTAGGGTTATCTTCTAGTTGTGTTATGCCCGATTATATACTTAATCAATAGTAATGTCACTGTTGAAAACATGAAAAAGTTTACATGCATAGGTATGACTGACACCAATATGACTCAGTGCTCAGTAGAAATATAGAAAAGGGAGATATACTCTTATATCTTTTTTCATATTTGGACAAAATGATTATTTCAGCTGGAAATGAAAAGACAGAATATTAGTGGAGATCATTCAGGTGTTGATACTAAACCAAAAGATCCACGGATGAATAGAGATCCAAGACGAGCTCGTGATCCCAGAAAAGCTGCTGCTAGCTCATCAACACCTGATGTAGTCTCAGCTATTCTTGAATCTTCAAAATCAGAACCCACGTTGATTCCAGTTCAAACAGCACCACCAATAGTCACACCATTTATCATTCCAAAGAAAGAAGAACTGTCCAACAGTCATCAGCAAAATCACACAGTCCATCAGCATCAAGTGTCCAGATTAAATGATCCTCGTCGTGCTAATCAAGATAGAACTTTAACTAATAAAGATGCAAATAATGCTAGTAAAAAGACATCTAATACTAATTTATCTAATAAATCTAAAAGTGCTACTAGTAATAATTCTAATTCCAGCTCTGTATCTAAAAAGATTTCTCCCCAGAAATCATGCTCAACTTCCAAAGTACAAAAATCAGTACGATCTGTAACTCCCAATAAAAAGAAAAGTGACACGATTGTGGTTATAGATGATGATGACGATGAACCTAAGGGAAGAATTGAAAATAAATCCTTTCCCTCTAAAAATCGGGATCCTAGGGGTGGATCTAAAGACGATTCAAGGGGAGGGTTAAGAGATGATCCCAGGGTTGGTTTAAGAGATCATCGTAGCAATAGTAATAGTCGCGATAGTGGTAGAAGCAGTAGTCGTGATAAAGACAGACATGGAAGCAGAGATAAGGATCGTAGCAATCGTGATAGTGAAAGGCCAAGGACTGGTATTGACAGACGAGCTGGTGATCACAGAGATTATGATGATCGATCTGAGAGATCACGACACAGTCCAAGGTCTTCACATATGGAAGACGATCGCATAAGATCAAATAGGAAGGGTAGTAAACGAGATTCCTCAGAAATGTCTGGCAGACGCTCAAGATCACCTGTCAGTAGATCACCCAGAAGTGACCCCAAAAACTCTGCTAAATGCAAAGAATCTCAGGAAAAGAAAGCTACAGCTCGAAAGATTTTAGATGTTGATGAAAGAAAGAGAATGTCACCTAAGATTGGATCTGATCCAGAGGGCTTGCCAGATGGTAAAAAGAGAAGATTGGATGATGATATTGAAATAAATAATCCTAAGGAATCTCAAGAGGATTTAAGGTAGATTTTGTTTCCTTTATACTGTAAAGTTGAATTATTAGTTGGCCATTGTTTTAGAATCATTAGAACAACCATGTGCACCGTATCAGATTTTGATATTAAGTCCATTTGGAGTTTGATCTTTCTCAGACATAGCATAGCATAGCTAAGAATATATGACATGGTAGGCTGAACATATTCACCTAGAAATGTCCCCCAAGATAATGTTCATTTCGTAGGAATATATGTTTCTTATTGACTTATTTTGATCTTTCAGTAATCTGTTTGGTTCTGAAGATATTGATTACAGAACAGCTCCAAATACCATACCATTTAAAAGTCCAGGGCAGAAAGGCTGGGCTAAATTTAAAGAAAACCATCCAGATGATTATCAACATGAACGTAGAAGATCAAATGAAATGGACATGGAACAAGATGTGGATCTGCGTAGACGTCCATCTGTTCACTCACCTGTCAGACAATCTTCTGTCCCATCAGGCAAACAACAGCCAGTACCGATAGTCATGCCCCTCATACCTGATGCCCTAACTCTGGAAAATCAAGAAGCCATTCTGAAGGTTGCAGAACAACAACTTTTGTCTGGTATGATAACTCATCAGCAGCATCAAGATGTGCTGCGACAATTGACTGTGCTGTATAAAGCCCAAAGATCAATGCAGGATAAACAGAAACTTGAAGATGAGGAAGATGAGAATAGAAAGCCTCTTGAATCTCCCCGTAAAAACGTTTTTGAAGTTTTAATGGCAGTTCCATCAGAGAATAAAGAAGCAGCAAAAGTTGAAACAACCAAGAGTGCTATTCCTGCAATTAAACATGAAGCTTCAACATCTTCTAGTACACCAGAACAGAAAGTTCCTGAATCTGTAGAAGAAAAAGTGTGGAAACCCACCGTCATTGATCATGAATCAGAAGAAAAATGCATTCCACTTAAAGTTGAAAAGAAGATGGAAAAGATTATGATGGCTAAAACCAATCTGCCAACAGAGTTGGAGAAAAGTCAATCTCCACCTAAAAAAGTCATTTTACCCAAAGTTGAACCTGAAACCAAACCAGAAGTTAATGTTGAAAGTTCACCCAAACAAGAGAAATGTGAAATTTCTGCTAAAATTGACCCTGAATTTGATTTAAGAATGAGTGAAGGAACTTGGATGTCTCCTCAAAATGCTCCTGCAATCGATGCTTTCAAAAAGAGTCCCTTAAGAAATGAAGAACTAACATCACCTCCTCATGCTTTTGATAAAGATCTTCGAGTAAAGATGCCTGACATGGAGCCACCTCCACTTCCGCCAAGTATGACCTTCAGTTCACCTCCAGCTGAAAGGGTACCACCTCCATCATATCCCCGTCCAGACGGTCCCATATTGCAGGACCCTATAGTTCGTGATAGACCAGATCCTTTCCCACAACAAAGACCTTATAATGGTCCTATTAGAGATCCCGAGGCAAGTAGGGATGAAAGAGTCAGACCTAGAGGAAATGAATTGCCACGCCTTGATCGGCCACACAATATGGAAATGGATTTGCCAAGACAGCCACCTAGAAATGGACCTTATGATCCACGTATGTTTGACAAAATTGAGGATAGAGACCAAAGACATCCAAGATATGATAGGGGAGATGCTCAAAGGGAACCACACTTTGAAAGAACAGAGGGTCCTTATCCTAAAAGACCTATGGATAGACCAGTCATGTCACATCCTATGGGAAGACCCATGGAAAGAATGGATGATCCCCGAGACAGACACCCTCATGAAAGAATGGATAGACCTATAGAGCCACCATTACACAGAATGAATAGACCATTTGATAAGTCTTCACCTGATCGAAGGGATTTCTCTAGGGATTCTGACTTGCGTGATCCAAGAGGACCTCTGTTAGACATAGACAGGGATACAAGAGGACCTCTGTTAGACATGGATAGGGATCCAAGAGCACCTCTCTTAGACATAGATAGGGACCCTAGAGCACCTTTAATGGACATGGACAGGGATCGAAGAGGACCTCTTTTAGATGTAGATAGGCCTCAACCTCTACTTGGTGATCGTTTTGATAGTAGACCAATCAGAGGAAGAGTTCCTGAACTTGAAAGTCGGTTTCCAGCTGATAAAGATAGACATCATCCTGAAGAGTTTGAAAAAAGAGGCATGCATGATCATCCAACAAGAGACTTCCCACCTGAGGGTAGAATGGTGCCTCCTAGAAATGGGCCCGTTCCCCTACTCAGTCTTGACATTGATCTACCAGTTAATACTTTACTTAATGAGAAAGTATCTAATAGACCTGGTCCACAGGAACAAGATCCAAGGAGAAGTCCCAATGATAGATTAATGCAAGATCATGATATGAGAAGCCCAGCAGATCACATTAGAAGTCCACCTCAAGACTTTGGACCAGAAAGAGATATGGACCGAAGAGGTATGGAAAGGAAAATGGAAATGCATGGTGTGCACAATTGGGATGAGCTTGGTGAAGAGGGTAAACGATATGGTCATGATAGAGTGAAGAGGAGAAGTCCTGATTTGGCTGTAGTTGAAGACAGAAAGAAGAGTCGTATTGAAAGGAATAGAAGAGATAAGAAAAAGATAGACCCTTCTAAATTTCCACCAGTTGATAATCGTTGGGCAAGTTGTGGACATGCCATTGAAGATGAGAAATCTGAGATTATAATAAATAACAGAGCTTTTGAATTGTTCAAGGACTGTCCACCAAGGTTTATTCGACTAGGTGATTCAAGATTTGAATTTTTTGCTGATTCTAAATCAAAAGGTATAACAATTAGTGGTAGACTAGTGTACAATTTTGGAGAACCCCCAAAAGATGTTCCTCTGCCAAATGGTGAGATGGTGAACATATTTTTTTTGGGTGTGAGGAAAGAATTTTGGATTGATGGGATTCGTCATGAAGTAAGAGTTGATGCTCCTCCAAAGAAAATAGCTCTCAACAATAAAACATATGGTATGCAAATAGATGGAAATGATATGATGATTCTGATTGATCGACTGGAAAAGGGACCTTTTGGTGGTCCTCCAAGAGAAATTTTTGTTGATGGAATACCACATGATTTGAGATTTGAACCCCAGCCTCGCCAAATTTTAGTTGATGGACAAGCATGTGACTTGGATCTTAATAGAAAAATTCCTGTTTTGAAAATAAATGGTGAACCAAGAATGGTCCGATTTGACGGCCCACCAAAAGTGATCCACATTGACAATAGTAGTTATAGGGTTCCAGTAGATAAACCAATCAAAACTAAAATTGGAGTCAAAACATGCTTTGTGGCTTTAGGGGGACCTGGCCATGAAGTCATTATCAATGGGAAGTGGTATGAAATCAAATTTGATGGTGTATGTAGAGAAATTACTATAAATGATTGTATTCACAAGATAGCCTTAGATGGTCCAATACCCCAGTTAAAAATTCTAGATGTCATGCCTCCAGGATTTGAAGAAAGGTTACTCAATCAGAGCAGACTTCTACTACGTTATGCACAATCTCTACCAAGGCTACCAGAAGAGAATCAAAATCAGATGAGAATGCCAGGTTCAATGGGACAGCCTATGATGGGTCCTGGTGGTCCACAGAACATGGGTTCTGGTGGTCCCATGGGTATGGGTAACAGAATGATGGGGCCTCAAGGTATGGGAATGGGTCCAGGAATGTTCCCGAACCAAGGTGGTGGGATGCCCATGCAGAACCAAATGGGAATGAATACAATGCAAGGCAATAGGATGCAGCAACCAATGAACCAGCAAGCAATCAACCCAGGCTTCAACCCTCAAATGCAAGGTAATGATAATTAACACCATTATAAAAAAGTGAAAATTGTCTTGTTTGTTGACAAAATGAAAATTAGTTTGCAACTATTGTGAATGCTTATTCCTTAGCACATTATGTTTTGCACTATTCTAATATTCAGTCTGAAATTGATAAATATTTCAACTGGATTTTTCATTGGTATTGCAGGTGGTGTATCAGTTAATCAACCAATGTCTACAACTCAACCTCAATCATCAGGTGTAGCCAATGTTTTATCTATGATCATGCCAGGTATGTACATTGCATTCAAAATATGTTCGGCAAAGGCTTCTGTGTATATCTGGGATGATTCAAAACATGAATGAAAACAGTGACCCTTGTCTTTTGAGGTAGGATGAGAGGTACTAAGCACAATATAGATCTTTAACAGTGTAGGTTTGGATTAACTACCCTTAGATTAAATCAACTGATGGTGACGTGCATCAATATCTACAGCCTTTAAATAATGATATAAAAGACAATTTACATAAACATTGATTAATGAACAAATGATGAAATGTTGTTATATAGAAACCCTGATTAGGTTTTATTCAATGAGATGTTTTATCATTCTTTCTTTTAGCTCAATCTGCAGCTCCACAGAATACTGGGCCATTAGGAGGTCTAGATTTGAATTCCTTGTTCTCTAAACTGGTTGCAACTGGCATTATACCAAAATCTAATCCTGAGAGTACTAGTAATACTACTACTACTGTGACTACCTCAGTATCTGTTGATACTAATAAACCTAAACCAAAACCAGTATATATACCAAATGCTGTACCGGTAAGACTAGTATTCTATTTTTTTCTTCGCTGCTTTAAGTTACAATTATGCCGGTCGAGGTGCTGACATGGAAAAAGTGCCTAGTCAATTCTGATGGGACAATAAACCAAGGTTCTTGTGATAACAGGCTGTTCACATTAAAGATCTCTCGACAGTTGGAAATTGAAATGCTGCCGTCCTGGCAAAATTTCCCTCATTGCAGACTACATTGTGTTGCTTGTCTTTATTAGCCCATCTATAGTAGGACGTACATTAATTTAATTTGATTAAATAACAAAATAAAGACAAATTTTGAAATACCGTTTGAGATATGTAAGAAATTGAAAATGAAAAGTAAATTTGTAATCTATTATATTTAAGAAATTTGAAGAGCCTGAAGAAGAACCAAGGGAAATGAAAGAACCATTATTACCTATTCCAGACATCTCTGATTTTAGAGTTGATAAATTGAAAAGGTAATTAATTTCAGTTCTAATTCAATATTTATAAAATATAAGTATTATTTCCTACCATGACAAGTGATAAAAATAATATTGCTAACAATGTTTTATAAATTTTATTCACTGGTATGTGTTTTACAATGATGTAGATTAAAATTAATTTGTATATATGTTGTATTGTAGGAGATATAAAGGTGTTGTACAACGTTTATATGAAGGTATACAATGTTCAACATGTGGTATTAGATTTGTAATGGATGATACTGAACGATATCGTGAACATCTAGATTGGCATTTCCGTCAAAATAAACGTCAAAATGACGAGTTTAATATGGCTAAGAATAGACAATGGCATTATGAGATCGATGTAAGTAGAATACTTTGAATCAACATTTGAAAAATGTATTCCTTGGACGGCAATGTTCTGGGGTTTTTTTGAAAAGAACTTGCAGTCTCTGTAATTGTATAATTGTTACCCACGAATGTTCAAATAAGCAATCCACATCAGTATAGCCAACTTGAAAATGCTGGGTAACTGTCCAAAATTAAGCTCCGAGCAAAGTTTAGGAACTCAGGTCTTAGGAATGGTCGAGGAGAGGTCAACATGGTATTCTACAGTATTAAGAGTTTTAGGCTTATCTCATGTCTCTGGCATAGACTAGCTCTAATTTCTTTTCTTCCTGTTCACTTTCTTGGTATATATCAAATACAGGTTTGAGTGATGCTATTCAATTTTCAGAAACAATTTATGTTGAATTATTCTTTCAGGACTGGATACTTTATGAGCTTATTGAAGAGTCAGAAGAAAAAAGTAAGTAAAGTATAATCTTAAGTTGATCTGAAAAAGGGTTTCTTGTCCTTGCATGTTGAACTCTTATAGCTTTTTAATAATAATAGTAAAGAAAACTTTTTTAAAAACGCCATTGCACATGCCAAATCTCCCCTGGGATATTTCTACATACAACTACAATAGCATATTTATAAAATGATAACATCTTGTGTTTGATAAAGTAGAATATTGTGGTGATATTGATGATAAATTTTAAGCTCAAGGCCATATAAAATGATAACGTCTTGTGTTTGATAAAGTAGAATATTGTGGTGATATTTATGATGATAAATTTTAAGCTCAAGGCCATATAAAATGATAACGTCTTGTATTTGATAAAGTAGAATATTGTGGTGATATTTATGATGATAAATTTTAAGCTCAAGGCCATATAAAATGATAATGTCTTGTGTTTGATAAGTAGAATATTGTGGTGATATTTATGATAAATTTTAAGCTCATGTTAAGCTCAAGGCCATATAAAATGATAACGTCTTGTGTTCGATAAAGTAGAATATTGTGATATTTATGATGATAAATTTAAGCTCATGTTAAGCTTAAGGCCATATTTATAAAATGATAACGTCTTGTGTTTGATAAGTAGAATATTGTGGTGATATTTATGATAAATTTTAAGCTCATGTTAAGCTTAAGGCCATATTTATAAAATGATAACATCTTGTGTTTGATAAAGTAGAATATTGTGGTGATATTGATGATAAATTTTAAGCTCATGTTAAGCTCAAGGCCATATAAAATGATAACGTCTTGTGTTTGATAAAGTGGAATATTGTGGTGATATTTATGATGATAAATTTTAAGCTCATGTCAAGCTTAAGGCCATATTTATAAAATGATAACGTCTTGTGTTTGATAAAGTAGAAAATTGTGGTGATATTTATGACGATAAATTTTAAGCTCATGTTAAGCTTAAGGCCATATTTATAAAATGATAACGTCTTGTGTTTGATAAAGTAGAATATTGTGGTGATATTGATGATAAATTTTAAGCTCATGTTAAGCTTAAGGCCATATTTATAAAATGATAACATCTTGTGTTTGATAAAGTAGAATATTGTGGTGATATTTATGATAAATTTTAAGCTCATGTTAAGCTTAAGGCCGTATTTATAAAATGATAACGTCTTGTGTTTGATAAAATAGAATATTGTGGTGATATTTATGATGATAAATTTTAAGCTCATGTTAAGCTTAAGGCCATATTTATAAAACGATAACATCTTGTGTTTGATAAAGTAGAATATTGTGGTGATATTTATGATAAATTTTAAGCTCATGTTAAGCTTAAGGCCGTATTTATAAAATGATAACGTCTTGTGTTTGATAAAATAGAATATTGTGGTGATATTTATGATGATAAATTTTAAGCTCATGTTAAGCTTAAGGCCATATTTATAAAATGATAACGTCTTGTGTTTGATAAAGTAGAATATTGTGGTGATATTTATGATGATAAATTTTAAGCTCATGTTAAGCTTAAGGCCATATTTATAAAATGATAACGTCTTGTGTTTGATAAAGTAGAATATTGTGGTGATATTTATGATGATAAATTTTAAGCTCATGTTAAGCTTAAGGCCATATTTATAAAATGATAACGTCTTGTGTTTGATAAAGTAGAATATTGTGGTGATATTTATGATGATAAATTTTAAGCTCATGTTAAGCTTAAGGCCATATTTATAAAATGATAACGTCTTGTGTTTGATAAAGTAGAATATTGTGGTGATATTTATGATGATAAATTTTAAGCTCATGTTAAGCTTAAGACCATCTTTATGAAATAGTATTTTGTGTTTCCAGCTCGATCATCAGTATTTGAGAATGTGGTACCAGGAGGTGATGGTAATGCTCTATCATTTAAAATACCTGAAGGCTGTGACTACATACAAGAACCTCCAGCTCAACAAGATGCTGATAATGTAAGTTTGATTGAATGTTCTAGTAATACAGATTTATTGTTGAGCTTGCAGTGTTTACACAGAGTTTACCTGAATCCTGAATGACTTTATCCTCAATCACAAAGTCACCCAATTTTGACAACTCCCAATGTTCAAGACTATCATTTAAGGCCCCCTGGCGAGATAAAACTTGCTGTTGCATTTTCATTGAATAAACTGCCAAACACAAAAAAGAGGTTTTCGGTCTTTGAAAAGTTTCAGAATCTGCCCAATGGAAACATACAGACTAGCTTAAAGCTGGTTTTTCCCTCAGTGGAAACACCATTTAAATCTTGTATGTAGGAAAGATTTTTGTTAATTATAGGTGTGCTGTATATGTGGTGATCCGTTTGAACAGTTCTGGCATGAAGACAATGAAGATTGGCATTTACGTGATGCTCTGTTAGTAGACAATAAATATTATCATCCAGTTTGTTTTGAAGATGCTAGAGATGTAAGTATTTATATGTCCACCAATATCTCTTTAATGTGCACCTGGGATTGGTAAATTTTTTATTTGCACTTTTCTAATGACTACAATTCCAATCGTATGACAGATAAATATGATCAAAAGCATCTAGGAATGATACATTGAATAGAGTCAATAGATTTATTTCTTTTTCTTTTTCAGGAATCTGTTTTGGAACCAACACCAACTCCTACAGAATCACCAGAAACTAATCCATTGTTTAACAGACGAGTCAGTACTGGTCCTGCTGCCATGTATACCAATGTTATTCCATCAACTGTCAAACAAGAACCACCATCATCTGACTCTACATCAGCTTCATCCTCATCAACTCATATAGAAATCAGACGTGAAATCAAAACTGAGACAGGGTCAGAGGTCAAAGATGAAGTTCAAGAGGTCAAAATTGAGACGCAATCAAACCCAGAACAACTGTCACAAGAGAAATCAGAAATCAAAATAGAAACTGAGGTCAAAACAGAAGTCAAAACAGAACCAGTCCCAGAAATAGACACTGGGTTGCAAACAGAGATAAAAAATGAACCTGTACCAGAGGTTAAAAATGAACCAGGACTTGAGGTGAAAACTGAACCAGAAGTTCAAAGTGAAGCTGTTCCAATGAAAATGGAAGAAGAGATGAAGAAAGCTGATGAAGCTGAGGAAATGCCAGAGGCTGTGTTATCAGAAGAGAAACAGGAAGAACCTGAACCTATGGAGAGTTCTTGAGTTGTCTGTTCTTGACTACATAATGCTCACTATAATATGATCTCTCGTCACAGCTTAGATCAGTCATTGCTTTGTCCGTGTGTAAACAGAAATAAACAGAAATCGCTGACAATTTGTCAAGAAAATGATCATCATTATTGTAGTTTTGAAATAGTTGTTTAAGGATGCATACTAGGACTCAGTTGTAAATATTGACAGCTTTGCAGTTAATACTAGTGCAATGGAGTACCTTAATGCCTTATTCATTACATTTAGACAAAAGGTTCCACATTATAGTCAGTTGTGACACAGTTATTTATATAATGCTTGTTCAGGGGTTATAACTTTACATTGACATAAATGAACCAATGTATTTTGAAGTACTTCGTGAGTCGTGATTGTTAAAGCACAATGCATATAGATTTAGACTGCTTATGTTTGTATTTAGGGACATCTCTGTGCAGAAATGTTTTCATTTTTTCTGTTGAATGACCAGTGCCAATTTGGATACTTGTTTTAATTTGTATATATATATTGTAATTATTTTGTATATAATTTGCATTTTCATTGTAAAAATATGCATTGAGAAAAATGAAAATTGGAGGCCTTAAACTGAATACAATGTATAAGTTAAAATAGAATTAATTAGCTAAGCTAAATTTGCTTTAAAAAAAAAAAGCCAAAAATTTTTATATGCCATGCTGCATGAATTAATTAATAACTAAGACTTATTAATGTTGGATTAATTATTTATAAAGCAAACAGAAGTGCTTAATTATTATTAGTATTGCAAATTTTGTATGTCTTTGTAAGGCACAAGATACTGTGTCCAGAATAAGAACTTGCCAAGAATATATGGGCTAATGTTATGTTAATTTATGATCCATTTTGAAATTCAGTATGTTACTGAATTAAATAAACTTTAAAACTGAATTTATCTTCTTATTTTATATGTTGTAAAAGTGATATATTTGTATATGAGCATAGATGTTTATGTACATCTTGGCTTGATTTAAAAACAAATATTCCTGCTCAAAGGGACATGTTTGACCAATTGTACGTTAGTCTCAGAAATTTGCAATTTTTTTAGCTGAGCTTATCAGTAATAGTGTTCACAGCTCACCATTGAAATTTGAGCCTTCAAATCCATATGTGTCCAGAATCATCCGCTTTTGAAAGTTACAATGACTCGTCTTTTCTTGATGCTACACCATATTTAGAAAAAAAATGTCCAATTTGAAGGGATTATGCCCTTCGTGCAGTTCCAGTACTTCTGAAGATCATTTTCATATATATTCAAAACCCAAATTGCGAAGCATGGCCTTTAATTTGAGGTAGATTAAATAGTAAATACTAAAAGTTACTATCGTACCAAAATGTGCACAGATATCTTTGCTGAAATTAAACGCAGAAAAAATGAAATGAACAAGAAGATTGAGATAATAGATGTTTATTCTTTGAAGACAATAAATAAATATACATCACAATATCATGAAAAATATGACAAATAATAATACAATCTGGTTCAAATGCAAATATAGAGGTTTTGTTTTGTCTTCTTTTTTTCAGTGACTACATTTGATAGAAATAGAAGAAAAAACCTGGAACAAAACATAAAAATCTTCCATTTCAATCAGATTGATAATGTATATATAAATAACATAGCATCTTTAAAGAAAAATAACATTAAATTCATTCCAAACCATATCATCAGATATGGCCCTCCTCGTGATTGTGACTAGCAATAATCACTTGTTGGACACCCTTCATAATACTGAATAACAACTGAAAATAAAGTCTTAAAAATCTTCAGAGGGTAAAATAAAATAACAAAATTACAACCTTTGAGAGCTCCACATGACTGAATCTTGAGAAAAAAAAAATCAAAAATGTTGGTCCAAACAGTCCACTTCATTATTATAGACTATGAGATCTACAAGATAGATATTGTCAAGTGATTCACATACAAGACCAAAAAAGATCAAGTGCTTAAAGGGACAGTTGCCATTTTTTGACTAATCATACTTTAGTCTCAGAGACTGGAATTTTTTAGTTCACAGCTCACCGTAGAAATTTGAGCCTTCAAATCCATGTGTGTCCAGAATTATCAGCGTAACATGACGACTTGTCAATTTAAGATACTCTGTGATATATAGAAATAGTGAGTAAAATGCCTAGTTTAAAACATTAATAAAGGAATTACGTACATTTCTAGTACTTCTGAAGACTATTTACAAAAATTCAAGAGTAAAATCAACCCCTCAAAATGGCACACCTGTCCCTTTAAATAGTAGTAGAGTTTGGATCAAGTTTCTATACCATATTTTTTCAATTTTTAAAGACGTGTGAGTAAAACTGAGAATATTTTGGCAATGATGTTCAAGCCCCTCCAACCTCAATTTTTCAATTCCCCACTTAGAAGACTGGCACAATTTATAAAGCATACTAAAAGAGGGTGTATCAAAGAGAATGCACAAGAAACATCAAATACAAGAGACAAATAACACAGAAATATTGACATATAATATTTACATATTATGTAGATAATGTAAATAAATAGGCACCCAATTATATAAGAGAATAGTTATCCTGCAATCAAAATAATTCGATGGAAGACAGTTACCAATAGGAGAAATCAACTTAGTTGTGATATGCTAAAAATAGAACACATGTATGGCTTGAGTAGGACAATTGGTAGGACAAACCATAGAGTTATATATATTTCTATATATAACTCTATGGGACAAACCACTCTAACGACTGTTAAAGATGTGCATCATGTGATACACAAACCACGGCCAATCTCTATTTATAAATACTAACCTATTTCTTATGGACTTAAACATTTGCTACACTTTGGAAATGGTACCCTCCAAAAGAGGGACTGATTTGAAATACTGAGGATTACAAACTAAGATAATATAACAAGACAGGGGAAAGATCATCTTCACCATGTCAAGCTATTACGATCTTCGGCTTAAACCTTGACTCAAATGGCCCCTTTCTTGTATCACTGAGGTTTGTAAATGCAGAGATTTGATTGGATTCTACATTAGTGAATACAGCCAATCAGAGGCTTTGACAAAATTTCTGTTAACACTGAGCCATAATGTTTACAGTCTTTCTATCGAAAGCTTTGATTGGATGTATACATTGGGTACAATTCAATCAAATCGTTGCATTTACAAACTTCAGTTATATAAGAAAGGTGGCTATTGGAGTCAAGGTATAAACAGAGGGTCGTGATAATTTGACATTGTGAGGAATGGGAAAAAATAAGAATAGATGAAGTATGGTGTAGGGTGTAAGATTGATAATACAATAGATAACAGAATGAGCCAATCGTGTCTGGACTCATATCTTGTATTCGGGTTATCAATAATCCCACACTGTACCGTGTTTATTTGCATCTTCCAAACAGCTATTACTATGAAATAAACTTTCTAAATCAAAACAGAATAAACTCAATATAACATAATACTAATAATAAACTTAACAAACATAGACTTGATTATCTAATAAAGAATTTCTATATCACTGTGTTCTAATAAATAGAGACTAGATATGTAATTTATCTCCTATTTAGAATTCTTGTTTCTACTCCTTATTAGGCTAATGTGAAATGGCAACACTATGTAGTGTACAATATAGGAAAGTTGAATAAGCCATTTTGAATATTTTTGGGTCAGAGAAATGTTGTTTTTGCATTTGACATTCAATTGACCAAGATATCATGTTGATTAAAATATTATCAATGAAAACTAGGGTCACTCATCTTGAACACTTGATGCCAATCTGCAACAGGGTTTATCAACATGAAATCAATTCAGAGAATCCTTTAAACTATAATAAATATTCTGGTTTTGTTATTCCAAGCTGGATAGGAACAGGTTTATCTGCAAAACCAGTAGTTGCTTATTGTAAGGTGCTTTGAAATGGATGAAGGGACATGTGCAAATTCTCAACACATCATCCAAATATCCTTTATCAGAAGTTCCTTAAAAAACCCCACAACATTTGTGTTTTTATAAGGAATTCCAGACATTCCTGGCAATTGATGCATTGCACTTCACTTGTAAGCATGCAGGAGAGAAAATATAATATCTATCACAAAGGCAAAATACAATCTAATCAAAATACAGCACTAGATATATCATTTCAATTTCCGATTTGGGCTCCAAAATCTTTTAAAATAACCAGCACTGAAGAATATTTCTTTTTCCCATTGAACAAAATCTGTTTTGTTTTTTTAAACACGGGAAGAGCAATTTTGTGTTTTCTAATCATTTTCTTTATAACTCCCTTTCAGACTTTGATATACATATTTCTAATCATAGCATTTGAATTGACCCCACCCTAACTTAAATAATTGATAAATATATCTAGAGTTGTATTTTACTTAGATTAGACAAGACTATTTGTAAATAAAGCCACAATTCGAGTATCACAATAATAAAATGAGACAGATAACAATATATTGATATTACATACAATAAGCTTATATCACACAGCCAGGTCTATACAATTATATATACATAATTCAGCAATACGACTAAATACTCAAAAATAGATATTTCTACTGCCTGACTTCCTTCCTTAATCAAATTTATTTTACTGATTATTTTGACACAGTGAATATTTCAACACAGTGAATATTTTAACACAGTGAATATTCTAACACAGTGAATATTCTAACACAGTGAATATTTCACAGTGAACTGGTCAAGGTTCTTATTCGATATTTTGCCAACACTTCCATTTATCTATGTGCGGTAAAAAAATTTTAATTGGAAAGTCATGGTCACATGGCACGTATCATTTTGAAATATATTTTTTGACATAAAATTTTTGGTCAAAATTTGGGAGATTTCTTTTTAAAATTATCAAAGGAAATGTCTTGATTTTCAAAAACCAGTCAAATGCAATTTACCAACTTGCTAGTAACTTGCTAGTAGATCATTATTATCAGTTATCAAACAGCTATTTAACATTCATTGTTAACAAGATTTCAATATAAAGATTACAACCATGACACTCCCTTAAAATAATTGCACAATAATGTAATATGAATAAGGCAAGTTGACCTGTGAACACTATAAAGGTCAAAATAAAGGGATTATGTCTACTACTATCTACTATTGAGTGTAAGGGTCAAATTTGTCCTTAAAGAGATTGTAAAGAGGATATATAAGCTTTTTATGAATATTGGAGACACTGATAGCATCAATTTGCACCCTTCCATTTTTCAAACAGACATCTGTGCTTCTAGCAATGTATAAGTATTTCATGATGTCCCTATTGTAAAGATATCGTTAGCAGCTTTTGCATAGTGACTTCAGAAAATGCTAGCAATTATTGTAATGGCAAGAACCAACTAAAAATTGAAAAGGTGCAAGTTGATGCTATCACTGTCCCCAATAAGCTTACACATTAAAAGTGTAAATTATATATTGCACTCTATTTGGATATTCATTTAGATATCAGATACTGACACAGACTAAGATATGAAGAGATTCAAGACCTATTAGTTAAATGATGTATTGGGGACACTTCAAACTTTTATTTATATCTAGGACTATGTAAAATAATCAAAATAACCTTTTATCGTCGCCACAAATTCATAATATTGATTATCATTATCAAATTTCATAATCGATTATATGTCAAAGTTTTCTCCACTGTACCTGTTTGCTGGTAGTAATCTCTTCTACATAGTTTCCCTTCAGCACCTAACTTACCCACAATAAACTAATAACCGATCAAAGCAAAAATATACTTCTTTGACACACAAATAACCCATGAAAATGAAATTGAGAATTTTGGCATGTTTTGAATCCAGTATTTACAGGGTTTCTCAATTAAAATATTTCGATTAATAATCGCTTATTGATATTAGTCTGCTATCGATAATTGATCTCAATCTCAATACCCAGTTGTATTTTTACCATTCAAAAATCTCACCAGATGTCCGTCAACAGTCATACCCATAGTTCTAGAAAAACATAACCATGACATAATATTATTATTACAAATCCTTTTCAGATGAATTAGTATCAACCATTAGGCAGTAAATAGAATTGGTGCAAAAATTACCTTTAACTATCGACATATAGGCTAGAAAACCTTCGAAATCTCTCTATTTTTTGTACCCTGTCCAGCTACTCTTAAATCCCAAATCTCATTAGTTATATACACATAGAAAGGAAATTTTTTTCTCAAAATATCTCAAAGACAGTAGCAGACATGATTGATACAAGGAAAGAAAAAAAAAATGGTTCTTTATATAACACACAATTTCTAACAGTGACCTTAACAAATGAATACTTAAAAAAAAGCTTTCACAGTAATTTGCTTGCTATGCATTTATCCAATTCCCCACCATTTGTAAAAGATATAATGCTTCATCAGAACAGAAAGTATTTGGTATGTGAAAGAAAAAGGGGAAGGGTTCTTCTCCAATGAAAATAGTCAAAATACATCAAACCCATCCACCCCAATAGAAAGTAAAGATGTCAGTTAAAAATCTACTGTCTTCAGCAGGCACAATTATCCTTGTTTTCTGATGATTGAGGATTCGCCGTCTGCAAACCACGATGATGTGGACTTCCTCTTACATTTATCACTTCTGGTCTCTCTCCTGGCGTGAATCTGGCTAAATGTGGTGACATCATGGGTTTCGCATTTTTCAGTTTGTGTGCCAAAGTCATGAAAATGGCATCCACGTGATTGGCCTTTTCGTCATCCTTAGCTGAAGTTTCAAACAATGGCATGTTATGACTGTCAGCAAATTTTTGTGCCAAATTTGTGTTCACTGCTATTTTGTCTTTCACATCACACTTGTTACCAACTAATATTCTAGGAAGTTGTTTGTTTAAATTATGCCGATCACATTCTTCTATCCACTGAGGCATATCTTCAAACGAACTCATTTTGGTTACATCAAATACAAAAACCACTGCGTGAACATTTCTATAATAATGCTGTACCATACTTTTTCTAAATCTCTCTTGACCAGCAGTATCCCACAGTTGTAGCTGCAAAATAAATATGCAATCAGAAGTTTAGATTTTTTTTTCAACCAAAAGGATACGCCATTTCTCTTAAGACCAAACATTTATTTGAAGAGCAATGCTTGAGACCCATTGACAAATGTATGGTAAATTGTTGGGTTTTGTCATTTTTTTCTCGAAATTACAGGCCATTTTTTAACAATCATACTTAAGTCTCAGAAACAGGATTTTTTTTAGCTAAGGCTATCAGTTATAGTGTTCAAAGCTCACAGTCGAAATTTGAGCCTTCAAATCCATGTGTGTCCAGCATTATCCGCGATTGAATGTTAAAATGATGACTTGTCAATTTAAGAAAAGACATATATAGAAATAGTGAGTAAAATCCCTAGTTTGAAGTATTTTTAAAGGAATTATGTGATTTTCATACATTTCTAGTACTTTTGAAGACTATTTACACATATTCAAGATTAAAATCAACCCCCCAAAATGGCGCAACTGTCCATCAAAGTCAAATGATAAAGTTTGCTTTAGTAAGCTTACAGCAATTTTAAATGGCTCTGTAAACATAATTGAAATTATAATAATGTATCTTTATTTACATCAGACTATTGCAGTTGGACCAATATCATGATTGATAACATAAATCAATATTGTGTTAATTAAAATAACATGAATTGTATTACCAGTATATCATACAGGTACTATCATTGTATATATATCATACATAGTAATGACTAATGAGAATTGTGCATATTGAATAATAGTCCCTATAGAATATCAGTGATCTCATTATTACTGTCATTAATTTCTATTGGTCCGTTTAAAGGGCATAAGTTCAGAAATTCTGTGAGTAAACTAGATAATTCCATATGAATAGCAACAAGAAACAATAGTCAGTTAATTCCAAGGACAGAAATGTGAAATTTGTCAATTATTGTGCTTATTTTTCACAAGAGAAAACTATATTGTTCAAATGTTAATAGAAAAAATAGTTGTGTCATATCACTGCAGATTAAAAACTTTAAACAACTTTCATGGTTCATTGATTTTCATCACCAACCTAAATAGATCAATTAAGTTTAGTAGCAATATTTGATAGCTGTTTGACTGTTACTTAAATTGGTTAGAAAATGATAATTACATTAGAAAAGTTACATAAGATGTAATATCATAATTTATCTCAATATGCGTGACTCGCTGAACATTAATGGTAAGCTTAGATTTGCAAATTAAGTATTATGTTAGCCTAATGACATATTTAGCAAAACTGTATATAAGTTCAAACTAAATAATGGAATAATTGGTACTTTTTTTTTTATAAGCTAAGAGTGTGACATCAATTGAAACCAATATCAGCATTTCAAACAGTACAAATTCAAGACATGAATGCACATCATTGCTTGGCATCTTTGCAAAACAGAAAGCAACTGGTTTGGAAAGGGAAGGGGGGGAAAACTACTCTTTGAGAAACTACTCTAAAAGAGGGCCAAAAATGTTAGTGGTCAAGGGAAGAGCTAGTCAGCTTATTTAACTTATTTCTTTTATTTTTTAGGCAAGTGCAACTGCAAGGCTACATTACCTTAATGTGCTCCCCGTCAACATCAATACTTTTCTCCCTAAAATCAACACCAATGGTAGCTTCTGTTTTGTCAGGAAATTTACCACTACAAAATCGATAAGTCAAACATGTTTTGCCCACATTAGAATCGCCAATCACTATGATTTTAAAGATTCTTCTTTGTGCCTGCTTTTCCACTATTTTGACAGCTCCCGACGATGGTTTCACCTCCCTTGGTGGCGGCTCAAACGACTGAAATGAAGCCATCCTTTCCTCGTTAGAAAGAATTGTGTCTGTTGTCAGAGGTTACAACTATGTGCTATAAATCTAAATATGGAACTGATGAATAAATTAAAAATTTATTAATTTCTAAACAAGTCACTGGAGGATGCCATCTTGGATTCTTACGTCACACATTTGTTGCATTTCGGGAATAAAATAATCCGAGACATTGCTATGATGATTTTTAGCCACTTGGAATTTATTTCATACTCTTAAAATTTTGTTTAAAAAGTCCCAATTTAATTCCTAGTTACAAAATTGTATTGGTACTTTTTATTATCATTATTATTATTATTTTGTTTGGAGTGCGTGACTTCACGGAAGTTGAAGGTCCGCCATATCGGAATTTGCACCACGAGGTGCTAGTTTTTTCATTCGTTTTCCACAATTGTTTAGACGTCAATTCTTTTTATAGCTACAGATATGCCTTCAATCAATCCCCTACCCCCTAAGGAAAATGCCCTCTTTAAGAGAATTTTGGTAAGTTTATTGGTTTACCTGAAAATTGCTCGTCCACAGCGTCCTCTGCTTCGACTTGAAAATTGAAGGAGAATATTAATATTATGCTTGTCATGTTCTGGCTGTATGCCTATAGGCTACATTGGATTGGTAACGGTAATGATAACTTTCTGTCAATTTGCATTTCAAACGAGAAGTAATACATCTTCTGAATAGCAATTATGTGCCACTGAATCTGACAGATAACTTTAGACATTTTTCACCTTTGAGTTTGATCATGATAATCTTACACAAACTCAACTGTCACACCTACAAACTAAAAGCGAATGTCAGTAGTCAATATTTAAATGAAAAATTCAAAACATTCAATAACTACCTCATATATTTTACAATCTAAGTTCTTCGATTTAGATGAAACATTAAACATGTCATGATATGTAAATGTAATGTCAATTTCAAAATTATCCTTTTATTTTAAGGACTTCTTATAAAGCTCATTTTATTTTTGGAGGTAATGAATCTCTTTCTAGTCATGCATAAGATATTTTGACAATTATGATTTAAGTCTCTCTATTCGTCCATTCATTCATTCATATCATGCCATGAAAATGATTGCAGGATAAACCTGAGAGAATTATGTAATAGTATAATAAAGGGTATGCAGTCAATCAAGGATCCCCAAAGGGATGATGGAAAGAAAAAGGTTGAAAATCCTTGATTTAGAGAAATATGTAGATCTATAAGAAAAATTCTTTCATCTTTTGAAAAAGTAGTATTTTTGTTGTTAAGTGTTACTTAATAAAAAGAATAAATCTATGTCATGTTACATGGTTAATATGTTTATCATAGATTATAAGAACAAGGTCAAACAGAGTTTACTATACAGATTGTTATCCATAAGCTTGAAGATTAAGCTTCTATATCAACTTAAAATAAAAGAGCTTGTGTAAGCTTAAGCTTACATAATATTAATTTTTTTTCTATATTAATTTTTTTGACTTTTTTTCTAGAAATGTTACGAACAGAAGCAATACAAAAGTGGACTCAAGTTTGCCAAACAAATTTTGACAAATGTCAAGTTTGCAGAACATGGAGGTGAGTATTAATGGTGACAGCAATAGTTTTCTGAACTTTTTCAAGCATTGTGGTCAAGAATGTTCTGAGAAATTCAGGTGTGATCATTGATCAGTAGACTTAAACAAATTTAGTCATTCAAATGTTTTCAATTTAGTTATGTTGTATTTGTAGAAACTTTGGCTATGAAAGGGTTGACGTTAAATTGTCTAGGAAGGAAAGAAGAAGCCTATGATTATGTTAGAAGAGGATTACGTAATGATCTCAAGAGTCATGTCTGTATCCTTTATATATTCATAGTTAGTGCTATAAACACTGGATGTTACAAATTATCTGTAAATATCATTGATGAACAAAAGTTTTGGCCCTGAGAAATAAACTAATTGGTATTTTCAAATATATAAAAAAGATCATTTATAACAACTTAAATAAGATTTCCTTAACTAAGAATCAGGTTGGCATGTGTATGGATTATTACAACGATCTGATCGTAAATATGAAGAAGCTATCAAATGTTATAGACATGCTCTCAAATGGGACAAGGTAAGCTTCAATAAAACATACTTTGAAATGATTTATACAACAATCTAGCTATTTATCTTCAGTCACAAATATCATTTTGAAGATAATTCCATTAAATCATCGAAAGCATTTGATGTCTTTTTGGAAATATTTGATTGAGACAAACTTTACACATAGTCTTACAAGTAGTAGTTTGCTAGTTATTTAACCAATCTTTAATCTGAATGAATGTTTATTTCAGGACAATTTACAAATTTTACGAGATTTATCTTTGTTACAAATACAAATGAGAGATTTAGAAGGGTATAAGGTTAGTTTTATGTTCCTTGTATTGGAAGAAATTGCACAATTGCAGATATGGTTGTGGTTGCAGATGTTTCATTTTTGTCAAGTAATTCATATCTTGAACTTAAACAGACGTTCAAGAATGGGTTGAAAATTTTCTTATCTTTAGCATTGAATGAATTCATCTGAATTGGTCCATCAGTAATGATTATTTGGATTGTTATCAATCAGCTTAAGGAAAACAGCCATCAGGAAGTAAAATCGTATGACATTTTTAAACTATTTATTTTATGTGAATTGCAAGTTATTAATATATTTGTAGGATACAAGGTATCAGTTATTAGTATTACGTCCTGGTCAACGTGTTTCATGGATTGGTTTTGCTATGGCATATCATTTATTAAAGGATTATACTATGGCTATTAGAGTTTTAGATGAATTTAGAAAAACACAATCAGTAAGTAATATACTCTTTTACAAACAATATCTTAAAGAGGTTTTCTAAATTTTTTATGTGTATCAGTGTCAGCTTCAATTTGCACGTCTGTGGTTCTTGCAATTCCACTAAAACTAACACATTTGATGACGTCACTAGAGGGGAACTACAGGAAGTTACTATTGATATCTATGCAGTTCCGCACTAGTGACATCATAAAACGCATTAGGTTTAGTGGAATGAAAATTGGAATGGTGCAAATTGATGCTATCACTACAATCAGTGTCCCTGATACACATGAAAAGTTTAGAAAACCTCTACAATCCCTCTAAGATTCAATTGTATGTACTCATAGCTGTATGACAAAACTGAAAAAACATGGGTTGTAACTTTGAAAGGAAAACTGAAGCAAGAAATTGTCAGAGAATATTACAAACAACCTTGAGAATAGAAATTCTACATGAATCAAACATTGGATGTTTAGTCTGAAATTTAGCTCTTTTACGTACACAGATGTTCATTTTGAAGTCTAACATTATTTGATATTTATTACAGTTTTATTAAATCAATGAACCACTTTTATTGGTAACTATTTGTATATTATGTTATTGTGAATATTTTTAATTATTATTGTATAATATTGTTTGTTATAATTGTATATTGTAGGTTAAGCAATATGATTATGAACATAGTGAATTATTATTATATGAAAACCTAGTTATGAGAGAAGCAGGCTTGTATCAAGAAGCTTTAGATTTTTTAAATGAATATAATGAATATTTATTAGATAGATTATCAGTCAATGAAATTAAAGGTAGGTGGATTGCCTAATATGGAACGAATGCATGTTGCTCTTAGATTGTGATAAAGGGATTGGAAAGAGGTATTATAAAATTAGCATCAATTTAGATCATTCCAATTTTCAATCAGACGTCTGTGGTTCCTGCAATTCAACAAAAACTAAATGTTTGATGTCACTTGTCGCGAAGGGCTTTATATGATAAAGCAAATTTTGCGATTAATGACATCATCATACACTTATTCTTCTGAACTCTTAAATTCATCAATGAAAGAAGTGTCATTTGAATGCGGAAAGAGAATTTGACATGAAAGTGGACAAATGATTGTAGTCTAACAGTTTTTTGCAGAAATCGATACAGTTACAATATGATACTGCAGGGTAGATGGCATGGCGTTTGATTTTTACTCTGTATATTTCAGTTGAATTACTATTGAAATTAAATAGACAAGAAGAAGCTAAGAAAATAGCTAATAACCTTATTGATAGAAATCCTGAAAACTGGGCATATTATAGACAATTTGAGGATGCTGCACAAATATGTAAGTATTGCTAGGATATGCATCTAGTATTGTTCAATCTGTCCATAATTTGGGAAAGATTTTTAGGGTTGTCTAATTTTACATTATTGAAGTTAATGCCATGTCTTTAAAACCAGAATATTTGGAATGGGTTATTTAGAGTGTTTTCTTTGCTAACAGCAAGGTGTTGCCCATCTTTATCATTCCAATATGGTGCTTACAGTATCTGGTTTGATGATTTTTTTTATGTCATAATTTCTACTTATTTATTACAGCCTGTTCAGAAGAAAGGTGTAAGTTATACTGTGAAAAGGAAAGTAAATTTCCCAGAGCTACTACACCAAAATGGCTGCCGTTAACTTTCACTACAGGTTAGTCACATGACCTCGTTTAATACAATCGTTTCTGTAGGTTGCAGATGACGCAGTTTTCTTTAGTTTGATTGATTAAATATATAGAACAAAATATTTAGTATTATATATTAGTCTGATTACTGTTTCACTAATTTATATTTCATGACATCAGCATCTGCTGGAAGCGAACGTTAACTAGTCATCATCTACCTACCTGTCTAATATATAGTGACTGATAAAACAAAGCAAACTGGAAATTCATGATTCAAAATTTTGTGGTTAGGTATTTATTATTGGGTATTATTATATGTTGTAGGTGAAAAGTTTCGAAGTGTAGCTGATGTATTTTTAAAGACCTCTATAAGAAAAGGTGTACCTCCATTATTTGTAATCATGAGACCTCTTTATAATCAAGCAGAAAAGGTAATATATGGTTATAATAGGTTATCCTGTTTGGCTATGTGGACAAAGCCAGATTGAGTTTGGAAGATGGAGGCTCATCAAGCATAGAATAAAATCAGTGAGGTTTGATACCAGTATGGGATTAGACACTTGTTTTAACCTTTCTTGAAAATATTTTACAGACTTATTTATAATCAACAATGAATCTACATTTTTTGTTGTTGATTTATGTTAAATTGAGCCCTAATTGTTTAAACAATTTGTACTATATGAAAGTAGACTATATTATATGTTATTTTATTAGGTGAAAATTATAGAGGAATTGATATTAGGTTATGTTAAAAATTTAAAAGATTCTGATTATTTTGAAGCAAACTGTAAGTAGATATTTTTGATTTAGAATTAAGATTTAAAATGGAAGGATAATGATTTTGGTATATAAGATGTAAGGGTGACTTAGCACAAAAACTTGACCAGATCATATTACTATTGCAAGACTTCATTGGTAATTTTCATACATAGTCTACAAACCTTTATTGAATCCCTATAATTCTAAGAAACTAGGCTTCACAAGGATCCTGTCTTCATAAGCAACAAAGATACAACTTACAACTGCCATTTTGATGGTAATCAATCATATGACATCATGTGAAGATTTCAATGCTCTAACCCACTGTGCTACAGTCTGTCCCTCTTTAAAATGGTGTGTATGGTTTATATTTTCCAGGTGATACTAGTGAAGAAAAAGAACCAGCTACTGCCTTATTATGGACATATTATTATCTAGCTCAACATTATGATTATATAGGCCAAACTAGATTAGCTTTACAACATATAGATTTAGCTATAGAACATACACCATTACTTATTGAGTTATATGTATTAAAGGCTAAAATATTTAAGGTAGGTATTTATGTCTAGGATTATTTATAGGACTATAAATATGTTTTATCACTTGAAGCCTTTCCCGATTAGTGACATCATCAAACACTTAGTTTTAGGGGAATTACAGGAACTACAGACGTCAAACTGAAAATTGATGCTATCAGTGTCCCCAATACACATAAAAAAATTGAGAAAACCTCTTTACAATCGTTTGTTTGTTTTTCTTAATTTGACATATTGGTTTATGCATTTGCTTGAATAGAACATAACTTTTGCTATTCATAGCACTTGTTAGGTATAAATTAAAATATGACACCTAGTTCTTCTGCAATTCAATAAAAGGTAACAGCTGCTCATCACTTCCAGCATGTTATTATCACACTTGCTTTCTATACTATTGATGTATGTGTAAATAATCTGAAAATGACAAGTTTTAACCTTCCTTTGTGCCTTCAGAATCGCAACTGAATCATATGTCAAATTTTTAATTCTTAAAAGTGATACACTTAGAGGAAAAACAATTGATACATCAAATAATTACACAACTGTTGCCCCTTCTATGTAGAAGTCTTACACCTGAAATATCCATTTATTTAAAGGGACAGATTTGCCAACCGTCAGAAATGGGATTTTTTAGTTAAGCTAATCAGTAATAGTGTTCATAGCTCATGGTCGAAATTGAAGCCTTCAAATCAAAAATTGTTCAGAATTACTTCTGAATACTATTTACATATTATATTCCAGACCCAAATCAACCCCCCAAAATGGCGAAATCTATCCCTTTAAGACTATAAAAAATTGGCGTATAGCTTGATAAGATGTCTATTATTTTGTAGCATGCTGGTGATATAGAAGAATCAGTAAGATTAATGGATGAAGCCCAGTCATTAGATACAGCTGATAGATATATTAATTCTAAATGTGCTAAATATATGTTAAAAGCTAATCTAATACAAGAAGCAGCTGATATGTCTTCCAAATTTACCAGAGTAAGTGTCGTTTCTATAAACTTATGTTCTCAACTGCACATAGAGAGATTAAGCAATGATGCAAAACATTTACAAGAGCAGTCAAATTGACAGTAAACCAGCCTTGTATTTTTTTAATATTTATACTTCAATACTTTGAAATGAAAATGGTGTTCCCCTCCCCCCATCCCTGACCTGTCATTACTCTCTTATTTTATTTTGTTTTACAGGAGGGTGTTTCTGCTATGGAAAATCTCAATGAAATGCAGTGTATGTGGTTTCAAACAGAATGTGCCTCATCATATCAAAGATTAGGAAAATGGGGTGAAGCTTTGAAAAAATGTCATGAGATAGACAGGGTGAGTTTATTATATTTTTTATTTGGTAGAAAATTTGAATGAAAATATGAATATGTAAATTGATCAGAGGTCACTCATGTTGTATAGGATGTAAACTTTCATTCCATGTTAGCTCATTTCATGCAGCTGACACATGTTTTGGATACAAAATACTCATCAGGACACCTAGTTTTCGAAGTAGGGGTTAACTTTTCAAAAAAGGGTTCACACATGAGTCACATTAGTGGCCTGTGCACAGTACAAAAATAAATGCATGTCAAGTTTTTGAGAATTTTTAAATTCGACTTGGCTCACACCCTCATTACCTGGACAGAGATTGTGTAATTTTTAGGGTGGCACAATTTGTTATTGATTTCTCTGTTCTGATATCTTTCAGCATTTTTCTGAGATCATTGAAGATCAGTTTGATTTTCATACATATTGTATGAGAAAAATGACATTACGAGCTTATGTTGAGTTATTACAGTTAGAAGATAAATTACGAATGCATCCATTTTATGTCAAAGCTGCTCACATAGCCATTGAGGTAAGTTTTAAATTCATTTTTGGATAAAAATGATATTTATTATGAAAATAAATTTAGATTAACTGTATAATTTATAATTGTATAATCTATTTAAGATCTACTTACATTTACACGACCATCCTTGGACACCAGAAAGTGAACAAAACAATGACTTAGATTCAGGTAGGTTTGTCTAAAGTTATATTTTGTTTCTATAGCGATCATCCCCCTCCTTCAGAGACGTAATATGTTGAATCTGAAACGCGTTATTAATTGAAAACTTAAAATCCTGCTCTGTGCCCCTTAACAATAGAGACTAAAGTTCAATGAAGTGCATTGCATGATTGTTGTTGTTTCTATTGACTAAATAGTTTTTTCACATTTTTCAACAATATATTTTCCGTTGCAGAAAATTTATCTGCTGCTGAGTTAAGAAAATTAAAAAGAAAACAGAAGAAAAAAGAAAGAAAAGCTGAAGAAGAAAGAGAAAAACAGTTAGCGGAACAGAAGAGGAAAGATCAACAAAGTAAGAAATCTCAGGATAATGATCTTGATGGTCCAAAAGAAGAAGAACTCATTCCAGAAGAACTAGCTAAAGTAAGTAGGGCCTACACCACTATTTTTCCAAGAAATAAGCAAGTTATTAAAGCTAAAGAGATCGTCATCATCCAATCAGATTCATTTTCCTTTTACTTGCACGCTCCACACATGATTATGATTATCGACAAGATGGAAAACGACCTCATGGAGATCTTTGTCTCCTTGTGTACCACTCGTGTAACTGCTCCTTCAATAAACGTTAGTTCATGAATTTTTTTTTGATTCAATTTTTCAGACTGATAATCCACTGGAATGTGCTATCAAATTTTTAAAACCACTTCAACTGCTGAATCCAAATTTAATAGGTACACATGTTGTAGCTTATGAAATCTATTCTAGAAAAGGTAGGAGTTTTTTTGTTTTTTTTATAATGGAAATTGGTATAAGTTTTGACTGTTTTTCCAGGATCCCCTTTGGCTCCACCACTGTGTATAACATTGTATATGTCTCTGCCTTGAACTTGAAATAGAAGCATGAATTATTTTATTTATTTGTAGGAAAGTTATTATTGATGTTACAGTCTGTTAAAAGAGGTTATCAACTCAACAAAGATGATCCTCATTTTCATGTTTGTTTTATCAAATTCTTACTACATGGTAAGTACCAGTATACAGCAGCACATTAACTACTAATTAGTTCTTATACTATCATCCAATAATTCTATAATAACAGATTGAACTGCACTTATATGTCTAGAGGTTTTCATCAGTTTCACCACTTTTCACCAGTGTGAATAGCCTTGAGATTGATTTGTAATCTAAGAAACACTTAAATGCGGTCTGACATTTTTTTACTTTCTATTCTGTTTACTTTTGTTTACCAACGTATTATTCATATGTAAACCTATGTAGGTTAAAGGTCATATGGCAAATGGCTCTCAATTTACTCTGTCAAGTACAGCATGTATTCTATTATCATGCTATTCCAAAACCATATTTGAATATGTTTAATTATTTCTTCAGTTAAAGGTGTAAAAGATTTAGATGGTGGTGTTAAAACTGTGATAGAACAAGAAGTTAATAAATTAACAGAGAATAAACCAATTAATAAAATTAATCAAGAATTCCTTGACAGAAATAGTTCATCTCTACCACACTATTTTGCTGGTAAGTAGGAATGGAGAGAAGACTTTTAATGTTAAATGTCATTTGATGGCAGCACAGTTATGACAGATATCATCGTATCACGAATATGGGTTTTGACATGGTCTTATTAACTCGTTTTAAACTAAGCCCACTTTACTTTTTTTGGGGGGCCTGGAAATGAGATTGATGGCATTTAAATCGGACCCATCAGATCGGTAGGACAGAAATGTGGTCATGTATACAAAACGCAACACTGCTTTGTCGCTGCCAGATTGAAAAGATAACCCATTCCTTCCAAGTAAATATTCCAAAGTAAGGTTTGATTTTCTCCTGTCTTCAATTCTCTAACGAAAATCTTGCTCAATTCTGTACCGTACATATTCATCATGCTGCTTTCATTTTGTTTACGTTCGCAAATCTATTGGCATTGGTGATCATTTGTAATTACAGCTGGGTCAATTGGAGGTATGAGCACTAGAATTTCACTCTTCAGACTAGACTGTCATGTTGTAAACATCATTTTTCAAGAAAACTACTTAGTAATTTCTTATACATGTATATGTATTTATCACTATTGGCTCAATTGGATGAAAATAGTCCATTGACCTGTGGACAAGTGTTAAAGATCCATAGAAAACACAAGGAATCTAACCATATTTCTATCAATTTTAGGTGGTCAAATGATGTATTTAATTGATCCCTCCACTAAAGAATTAGCAGTCAAATTAGCCACTTCAGTATCTAGTAATATCAAGGGTGTCACCAGAACGGTATGTAACTTCTTTCAGTTAGGATTTATTTACATCAGGTTTATATTTCTATAAAAATTACGCAGACTTTACAAGCGATTTCCTTTCTTGTCTGTATCAAGACATCTTCACCATGGTTAAGGTATTGCGATAGCCACGAAATGCAGAGTTTTGATTGGACAAATGTAAACATTATGGCTTATTGTAGAAGACTTTCTATCGAGAAATCTCATAAACATACAATCCAACCAAATCACTGCATTAACAAACTTCTGTGATGCGAGTAACGTGCAGTAAAGTTCGTAATAGCTTAACATTGTGTAAATGGTATCAAGAGCACTTATAGCTTCTATTTGCATTCTGATGTTTGTGATTTCTGAAATACCAATATAAAAAAGTGACCAGTTTATCATGTCTCACACTTATCTTTCTACAACTTTTGATGCTTTTCTACATTCCAATCTCACTTCATAAAAAATCTCAAGTGTTCACTTTTATATTTCAGACGTCTATTGATATCTTAGATTCTCTATGTAAAGGTGATTTCGGACCGTGTGAGAAAGAAGCTACAGACTTTCAGGCACAATGCCACAATCTTTTCCCATATGCAACAGCGTTTATTATCCCTGCCAACAATAATACTTCAGAACCCTTATCTAATGGCTCAGCCTCTTAATTTGACTATTTCTTCGTAATGTTTGGAGTGATGTTATTTAAAGTGCCAGATAAACTGTGTTTTTGTGTAGTGGAGAGTTATATGATCAATTGACTTGAAACATCTGAAGACCTTTTGACCTTATTCTCTTGAGTTAACACCAATGAATGAAAGAAACACTAAGGGGTGGCTCGATTGGTGAGTTCTGCATGTTCAGGATTAATGGTATCAACAGAACGTTCATTCAATAAAATTATTTGTTTAGAACATGTTCCACGTGTGCAGAAAAAAATAGGTGTAGACAGAATTCAAAATGGCGGAAAAGGAAATAGATTTCAACACTTTTATACCGTCAATTGGTGGCAGAATTGGAACCTATAAGAACTCTCCAATCGAGCGCCATGTAAAAAGATGGAAGCATTGAATTGTGAACCGTTAATCGTAGCTAAATGGTAACTGATCTCATCCAGGGTTCATGTTTGCGTGCGATCTATTGGGATTGTCATCTTTACACCAACAACTTCGCATAAAGTGAAATTCAAGTCGCCATGTTAACAAATAATACAACTCTTAACAACAACAACAAAGAGATCGAAGCTGATTGGTTAAAGATGCAAGAGTTTTTGAAGTATGTGATGGATGTTGAAGACTTTGTAATGAAATGAAATCAGTGTTTATTTGGAAAATTAGTTTCATTGTCTCCTCAAACCGTTATTGTGTTTATGGTTGGTTTGTTCAGAATGGTGTTTTGTAATAGAGGGTAATTATCTTCAAGAAATCCTAAAATTAGACAAACACGAGCACAGATATGTGAATTATTTAGTCAAATTCAACCTCAACTTTTAAAAAAAAATGAATTCAAAAAGGGTCATCTCCAGCATAATTAAGGAGAAATATGTGTTACCAAAAATGATGCAATGCGTATATAGATATTGTACAATATTCAAAGATTATTTTTATTATCAAGAACAGTAAAGATCTGTCCAAACTTCTGATATTTTCCTTTTAGTGATGATCAATCTTGTATGGGATTGATATTTGATGTGTCAGAAAAAGTTCTCAATGGTTACAAGCATAAATGCGTAAACAAGTGTCAATCCTGGATCACTCAATGATTTTAGTCAAATTCATGAAAATAGTGGCATTAACCTCCCTTTTTCCTGCAAATTGATCCGCATTGTATGTTACACCAAACATTGTGCAATGAGGGAATTTTCCTTGAACAGCAGCATTAACCTACTCCATCAAGACCGTGTCAAAATCCAGACAATAAATAATTTTTTGTGAATGGTGCTTGAACATCATTGAAGGTGATCACATATAAGATTGGTCTGATACTGAAGGTCAAAGGTCAGAGGTCACAGAGGACAGGTCTAAAATGACTTAAATATCATAAATATGTGTGAATAGATTGCTCTCTAGTTCAATTTATATTATAAACTCATTTATACATCTATATATATTTACTTGATCATTTTCACATGTTAAATATTGTGATTCTAATCATCTGTCACAGGGGTAGCTTGATTGGTGTGTTCTGCACGTTCTAGATTCACAGAATTAACCTGACGTTCAGAACGTGTTCCACATGTGACGATAAAATAGTAGGTGCAGACAGAATTCAAAATGATAGAGAAAGAAAGAGATGGGAAAATTTTGAAAGTGACATATCCACTTCCGTACCGGCAATTGAGACAAATTGAGGAACCTGTTCAGAACTCATCAATCAAGCACTACCTAGATTTTCTGGTCTTTATAGGGTCTCACTTATCAGATATACTACAACTTTCACTGAATCCAATGTATCATAACTTGCAATTTGCATATAAATGATTTCAATGAATCTGATTTGTATAATATTAAAATATTAACCAATCACATCTCCACATATTGAAAAGTCACAACTTGCATTTTTCATATAAATAATTTGAGTGAATGTGATTGGTATAAAACTGCAGTGTCATACAGAGATAAAGTAGTTTGAATATAGTCAGTGGTATTTTTAGATGTAGATGTAGCATTCTTAAAAGAAAAGAAAGTAGACCCAATTCCTAATTATGGTAATTGGCTTATGATGAAATAAGTTTCTCCTGCAGATTCTAGAAGTAGTTTTCAAAATTGTTCAATACCCTTTCTTGTCACAAGTCTTTATTCGAATCTGTAAGCCTCAAAAGAAAGAAGGAATGCAGTTACAGATTTACATCGAATTAATAATGCCAAATTCTGCATAAAATTTCAGTTTCAACATCTGGCTTGATAGACAGATATCAAAAGTAAGAGTTTAATACTTGTGATAGAGCTTTAACTCAAAATAAGAATATTATTCATAAAGTGGTCATAATAACACCTATTATACAAACTGGCAAAATGAAAAAAAAAAAGAAAATTTAGTGACTGCACACTAGTATTTTTCCTCCCTTCAAATCTCACAATAGTTAAAATTAAAGAAAGTATATGGCTTTAAAATTTCAAAATCGTAAAAAAGTAGAGAAAGTATATAGTCTTTGACAAACGTAAAAAGTAAAAGCATTAAATTTGACAACTGTGAAAAATAAAGAAAGTATAAGTTCATTAGATTTGACAGTGGTAAAAAATGAAGAAAGTTTATGGTCATTAAATTTGACAACCGTGAAAAAAAGTAGTGAAAATATATGGTCTTAAATTTGACAACAGTAAAAATTAAAGAAAGTATATGGTCTTAAGATTTGACAACTGTAAAAAATGAAAGTATATGGTCTTTAAATTTGACAACTGTGAAAAATAAAGAAAGTATATGGTCTTTAGATTTGACAACTGTAAAAAATAAAGAAAGTATATGGTCTTTGAATTTGACAACCGTAAAAAGTAAAAGTATATGGTCTTTATATTTGACAACCGTAAAAAGTAAAAGTATATGGTCTTTAAATTTGACAACCGTAAAAAGTAGAAAAAGTATATTGTCTTTAAATTTGACAACCGTAAAAAGTAGAAAAAGTATATGGCTAGTTGAATATGATAAAAAGTATCAAAATCATCTGATATAAAGTGAGTGAATTGTTTATATTTTTTTAGTGCTGTTTGTATTATATTCAGGATTGTTGTTAAATTATGTGTTTTTTCTCTCCCCCTCCCCCCCTCCTTCACCATTATTGTAGATAGTAGTTATGTTTGTTACGTGTTGAAATTTCATACACTTGCGGGGGAACTACCTGCATTAAACCTATTATCATACAGTGGCTTTATCAATATTTGATTTGGAACATCTTATCTACTTAGTAGAATGTAAATTAATAAGATTGGATCATTGTTTCTATAAACTGATTGGCTTTGATTTGTAAGTTAAATATTAATGCTAAATTTCATGAAATAAACAGATCATTCATGCTTTCAATATAAAGGCTATGTCACACAATTTCTAAAAATAGTCATCCACTAGAGCTCAGCTTGTACAGCACTTTTTTTTGGTTGTAAAATCCTCATCAGGACAGCTAGCTTTGGACATAAGAGGCTATCTTTCGAATTCACATGTATGACAACTTGAAATGTAAAGTTAACTCACTTACTGGAGTGTGAAACATTGTAATCTGATTGGTTAATAAACTTAAATCTTAAATTGAGTTTAGTGATTAACCAATCAGATGACAATAAAGACCAACTTATAAAATTGAACAATATGAATATTGGATAAATTGGGTATCAAGTCATAAATGAGTAAAATGGCTTTCAAGCCATCTGAATTTTCTGTAGATGAGTTTTGCAATAAAAGTTAGTTCTAGGTAATCTTGTGTGCAAATAATTATTATTTCATGCAATTTGTCTTACTATTTAGTGGTTTGCAGTTATTTGTTTCAGTTATATGTAAATTGTTCAATTAAGTGAAATATACGACAGTTCGTGAACATACTAATTTAACTGTTATTTCAACTGTGTGAATTATTATTGTATAGCATGTCATGAGTTTTTTCTACTAAGAGTTTTACTAGCTACAAATTTATTACCTGAACTTTAAGTTTATATGAATTGAAAGCCATGATGTGCTTTGTTAATAAACTTTCATCTTTTTTATCAATGCCATGTTTTTTTTTCTTTTTCTAAGGATATCAGTGTTTGGTGAGGATGTGTTTCCATGATAAACAAAAATTGTTATTGACACTTTTTCCATTTCAATCACTTTAATAAGAGACAAAAATTATCTCAGTCTAATGAAAATTACACTTTCATTCTGTTATTCGTTAGCTTTTATTTTTATTGTAGCCACTCCAGTTAGCGTCTAACCACTCATCTTTATAACATTCATCTGTTTGATAACATCACCAATCAAACTTCTTCCCTCTCCAGTATTGGGATTATGTGAGGCGAACAAAAGGACAGACTAAAGTCAAGTCATATGCTATCATTGTTGGCTGTTATGCACTAGCCCAGTGCATTTCAATTGGTTAAAGCTGTGGGCGTCTGATGGTTATTAAAACAAAGAAACAAGAAGGGAGTAGTTAGACCTTAACTAGAGTGGCTAAGTGAAATAAAAGCTCACCAAAAAACTGGTCTAAGTTTAATTACTATTAGACTTAAATTATGTTAGATGTTACTTTGTAGGACTTGTTGAACTCTGGCAACCTCCTAATGAAATTGAGACTGGTTTTAGTTAGCAGGTGTTAACAATGAATGTGTGGGTTTGATATAAACATGGGGCCTCTGATATATTCATAAAACAAAGGCTAAAAAAATTGAAGAAGTCTGAAGCCAAAATAGTTTGATTTATTACCTCCCTTGTTTGAACTCTTTTGACTGACGAAACCTGAGAAGGTTTCAAAGATTCAAGGAAGAAAATTTAAATTTAGATTGGCCGCGAAGTACGAATGGAGAAATAATCAAAATGGGATCAGATAAAAAGACACCACCTCAGCCAACCGATAACTTCGTTAAAAAAGGTATGATTTTGATTTTGATTTTATATTTTTTCTTCTCAAACTTGGTCACCTATATTTTGATCTTGATCGAGGAAATGTCAAATGATTTATTTACAGTCAATTACACGAAAGTAATCATACGTTAAGTTACTGTGACACAATGTATAACACTGTGGTGATAGTCGTGTATATTTGATAGAAAAGACATATACATGTATATCATTTTTATAAAAACTGATATAATAATAATATAGACTATTATGTCTGGTAGAATATCAATACCATACTGTGCTACACTTTAGGCTACTTAAACAGACAAGTGTGCACAGTGAATTTTACGAACTGGGTAATCATCGGCAATAACCGTTTGTTACCCGGTTAATTACTAAAGATTATAAAAGGAGTCAAAACCACAAAACCGGTGGTAACTCACTGTTAACTAAACTAGAGTAAGTGTAAATGAGTACCCAGGAAGATTTTGGTTAGTTCCCGCGAATTGTCGGTACAAATCAACAGATACCAAACACCCCATTGAAGCGTCTGCTTCATTGCACCATTGTCACTCATTGCTACAGTCTCTAGGTAGGTAGATGACAAGTTAATGTTAGCTTCCAGCGGATGCTGATATCGCAGTCTCTAACAGATCAAAGGTTTTTATACCAGTTGTGGGGTCAGTGTAATGAGTGTATCTGTGTTCTGGTTCCACAACTGGTATAAAACTATTGACTCAATGAATATTAATAAGCTTGAAGCTGATTGACAGGCAAGAAGAAACAAACAGCTAATTAGAGAAATAATAAAATAATAACAACAGAGACTGTAGCAATGGGTAACAATGGCGCCAGTCCGTCTGAGCTCTGTCAGGCCCGCTCGTAATCTTACATTGAAGCAGACGCTTCATTTGGTTGTTTGGTATCTGTCGATTTGTACCGACAATTGTCGGGGAACTGGCCAAAATCTTCCTGGGTACTCATTTATACTTACTCTAGTTTAGTTAACGGTGAGTTACCGCCGCAAATGCGGTTTTTGACTCCTTTATGATCTTTAGTAATTAACCGGGATTAACTGGGTAACAAATGGTTATTGCCGACGATTACCCAGTTCGTAAAATCCACTAACCGTTTCAACACTAGGGCTGTGATCACTATTGCTGATTAGCTCAGCTAAAAAATTCATTTATGAATTTATCTTTCAAATAGGCCTTCTGATCAAGTGATAAGATATCTTTATATGTTAAGCTTTAATACAAACTTACCGGTGATAAGTTATATTTTTTGTGAGATGTTTTTTTAAGTTGATAAAGACGAGGTGAGATTGAAATTAGAAAAATGGAGAGAAGAAAAGAGAAATAAGAAAGCTGACAACACTGTTCAACCTAATAATGGCAATACTCGAAAAAGGTAGTCTTGATTCAAATCTAATCTTTGTGGAATTTCGAATTTCAGGAAACACAGACATCTGACTTGTATGGAATGGAATAGTGCAAATTGATGCAATCAGTGTCCCCGATACACATACAAAATTAATAAAACCTCTTTACGATCCCTTTAATTCCAATATTTTGTTGTCAGTTTTAAGCCTACCTTACTTTTCACTTTGTTTTTAAGGTTTCGTATCGGACAAACACCTCCACCATTGCCTAAAAGTGTTAAGAAAAAAAATCCAATCCGGAGTCGTATAGATTGTCATTGGAAGAAAAGAATAAGTACAGGATCCACCACTACTTCAAATAAGAGAGATCAGAATCTGGCAACAGGGTGAGTTTGTCTGATAAAATTATTGTGGCCACTATTGCCTATTTAATCAATTTATGACCAATTTGCCTTCTCATCATATTACAGTGATCAATTTGCCTAAATATGTAACAACTTTATGACCAATTTGCCTTCTCACCATATTGCAGTGACCACTTTTGCCTTTGTAACTAATTTAAAATGACCTATTTGCTTTCTGACCATACTAGAGTGACCACTTTTACATGTGACTCAATATTTTACAGTTTACTTTTTGTGTTGAAGTTTTTAAGATATTTTGATGACAATTTTCTCAATGGCCATATAACTGTTACTGAGGTCCCTCTCCAAAATACTTTGTGGTATCAATCCAAGATTTTAGAAATAATTTGAATATCTTCTCAAGTGCTATCAAAGAAAATAATCCTGTTAAAAAGTCTACAGTTGAATCAAGAAGATTAACAACTGTTATAAAACCTGGTAATAGAAATTCAACACAGTCAAATAGGTAAGTTCTAATGACCATCTCTCATATTATAAATTTTTCCTTTTTCAATGTAGTGTCACGGAATTAAACGTATGCTGACTGATTCAAATACCTTCAAATTTTTTAGCCCCATTTGTCACTGCTGCTGGTTGGGACAAGTAAGTAATATGCCAAGGCCTAGTATTTGTGATTATGATAAATAGACACCATTCACGAATCAACCATATTGAATCAAACAATATTAACGCAAACAAAAAAGTGGCATTGTTTCACTGTGAAATAGCCATCTTTCCAATCCCAATAACTCAAAACTATTATTATTTTACATTAGAATTGAAATTTATAAAGCTATTTAATGATGCTTTCAGGTGAAAGTTTACCTTCATAAATTTCTGTTGTTGATTTGGTGTTTTATGATGTCTCTGTCTTTTCCATAGATGGCACAGTTTGCAGTTTTAGCCTTGCATTCGATGGTTCCAAATCAGTCTATATCACCATTCCACAGCAACTTATGCCTTTTTGTAACTGGGTTAATCAATCTGGCATCCTCATACCTAATCCTCATATTGATTTGACATTTTTTAGGGCTGTTTTAGCTGTCAAACCAATTGTTTCAAACATAACCAACAACAAAAAAACATCCAGTAAAGATGGCAGTAGGAGAACTTCAAGCACATGTAATAAAAACAGAACAAGTCAATTAAACAACAAGTCTCTACATAAACCCAGCATCAAGACAACTACAAGCAGACGTCATTCATTACGTACAACAAAAACACTGAAAAATATCCCGTCAACTCCAATGTCTGTCAGCAAACGTAGAAAGCTGACCAATGATAATTCAGAGGAGAGTGTTTTAGCCTGGAGAATAGATGCCACACCACCTAACCATGTGAGATTTAATACTGCTCGACGTTCAACACCACATTCTAAAACTGTTTTAGCTCAAGCTAGGAAAGGTAAAGATGCATCAATGAGGTATGTATAAGATAATATATTATATTTGCATAAGCACTAACTGTGGAAGCTAAATTTGACAAAACATGTATAATTTGTCAATTGTGCACTTTGAAAGGTTGATAACAATGATGTGCCCTTATTATTTTGTTTACTAAATTGGTATTCCTACCACAAGAGGAAGAAATTCTAAAAGTTATCTAAAAGGTAAAACAAAAATTTGTAATGGAATAAGAAAAAAGTGCTCATATTATTTTCCTTGGAAAACTTGTACACTACATAACATTATCTTTCTTCAAAAGTCTAATCAGATATAGACGGTTTGTTGCTGAAACTTCATTCATCTCAGAGTAAATGTTAAACAAGATTTCCAGCTTGATATGACTGGCAAATACACCACAACTGTGCTATTTTGCATATAATTATGTATATATATGAAAATGTGATATTTTTGAAGTGATTAAATTTAATTAGTGAAAATATTCTACAGAAATACCTTAAAGAATTGGCTAGACTCTAATGGTAAAACACCATCCAAGTTTCGCCATTTAATGTGTTTTGATTCTGAAATGTCTGCTAAGAAAGTGAATACTGTACCACCAAGTAGAACCTCAATAACTGTAGCTGAGTTAACACAACAGGTATGACAAAAGATTTTTTATTTAAGGGTATGTTATATTTTGAAATATTTTAAATTGTAATGAAGAGTTAAAGATAAAACAAAAAGCACTGTGTGCTATCATTTATGGCATTTCCCCCTGTCAGTGATGCTGTGATGCAGATAAGAGGGGCTGACATGGAAAAAGCGTCTAGTTGTTCAGATGGGACAATAAACCAAGGCCCCGTGTGCTACAGACTGTGCATGTTAAAGATCCCTTGACAGTTGAAAATCTAAAAAGTTTCCCTCATTGCACCCTGCATGGCGTTGCCCGTATTCATTATCCCACATGATGCAGAAAAGTCCAACTCCATTCATTTCATTTGTCATTTATTGCATAGGAAATCAAAATTGACTTCATAATATAATCCCAAAATCCAAATATTGTTGAACTGTGAGACAAATCATTCACAATTCAGTGTTATAAGCCCACATGGAAATGTGGTTTCAGAGTTATTGCTGTCGTATGTACCTTGACTTATAAATATATTTAAGATTATTTGAAAATTCATTATGAAGCCACTAAAGATTTTATCATATCTGACAGCTGGTAGTGGGCGTATGTTACCTTGCCTGGCAAGCTATCTTTATTATTCACTGGGATTAAAATATTTTTGACAGCATGAAGCAATGTTAAAGGAAAATAATGTAGATGATGTATTTATTGATGATGAATCTACAAATCAACAAGATGACAAACTAGATCAACAAGATGATAAACTAGATCAACAAGATGATAAACTAGATCAACAAATATTATCAATGTTAGATGAATGTTTTACTTTATTTCTTGCAGTAAGTATAGTAACTGATAGAGGTGGGTTTATTTCTTGTTACTCCAAAGAATGTAAGGCATTGTGCAAAGCAACATACATGTGCCTATTGTTGATATTTCTGTCATTTTAAGACTGTACATTAGTAATATTTTGAAGCAGATGATCCAAATCACATAAGAATTATTAATGATAGATAGTAAGCTTGAATTAAATATTTGATTTAAATTGATATAGAATGTATTTATTTTAGGGTTTTTCTGCTGATGCTATATTACCATGGTTAGATAAAATTGAAAGGTTCTCCCCCCATGTTAAAGAGTATACACCATTCTATATTTGTAAATTAAATGTTGTTAAATCTACTGGTAATAAACAACAGGTTTTAGATGTTATACATGATTCTATATTTTACTCAGCTAAGGTAAGAAGATATCAAATTTAAGCTTATAGGGGCATTCTGGGTTTTTTTTTTTTTGTCAATTTTTTTTTTGCTGAAATCTGTAAAAACTACACACCAAAATTTAGAGAAATGTGTCCCTTAAATTATGTGAAAGTCCAGTTGGTAAACTAAACTGTTTAAAAAGTTAATGCAGACTTGTTATGTTTGTTATGCTGTTTGGAAACTGTTAAAAAACTACTGTATGGATTACATCAAAATAAATGCCCAATTGTATAGTAATATTTCTCCTACATATTCTATTATAAAGCCAAACTCCAAAACTTGGTAAAACACCCATGTCCATTCTTCCATTCGTTAACACTCTAGAAAAGCTCAATTTTTGACTGATTTTGACGAAATGTGGTGTGAGTCCCAAAAAAATTAGTATGAGTATTGCCCTTGTTCTTGAAACCACATTCACTTTTAGCCTCAAAACATTCTAGGAGGTTCAATTATTGACAGATTTTGACGAATCTTTGTGTAAGTGTTTGTTATCACCCAAGGATGAACCCTATTGAAATTAGAAAAATATTTATTATGAGTTATTGCCCTTGTTCCTGTATTCAATTTTTAGCATGTCAACACTCTAGATGGCACAATTCGTGGCAGATTTTTACAAAACTTGGTAATATTATTCAGTCTCGCCCTAAAGAGTTCAAAAGAAGTGTATGACTGAAGGTTGAATATTTCATACTGGTAATTGTTACTGTACTGCTAAATAATTTGTTTCAAAATCAAGCTATCAGTGGGCATATATCACCTTGCATGGTTAGTTATTTTAAAGAAATATTACAATAATGTTGTACTTTCAATGTGTTTTCTATGGTTTTTTTTGTCTAAATATGTTTTATATAGCCTGCAGATAAACTAGCCCAAGCAGTCAAATCAACTTTAGAAGAATTATTATCAGAAAATGAGTCATGTCAACCAGTGGAAAGTCCAGAAAAAATGAAAAATAATAATATCTTTAATTCTACTACCATAAAATATAGCTTAAAACAAGTTACTCCATTTACTAGTGCTAGAAAAAGGTAGGCTATTGAATACTTTAAAACAAGTTAGATCATTTACTGGTGTAAGAGATTCACTGATGAATATAGTGATTTCATATAAGCTTACTATTCTTCTTCTTGAGCCCAAGCAGGTGCAGAAAACTAAGATCATTTTACAAGATCTCATCCTTTGTGGTCAACGCAATGCTGAGACAGTTTTCCGATATTTGGAATTTTAGAGTATGTATAAAGTCAATAATGTTGACAGTGAAATGGATTTTGATTACTTTTATGTCTTTTTACAAAGATATGATGGCACACCCAGAGTGTGTTTTGAATCAGATCTAGATGTGCACAAAATCTTTTGCTGGTCTACTCTTTTAAAATCTATTTTAGAAAATTATTTATTAACTGTTGGCAGGAAAAGACATACAGAGAATGAGAAGTTTTCACCACGAGCAGTAGTAACACCAGTACGTAGATCTACTAGACGTAGTTTATCTGTGTTTAAATCTGATAAAGAGAACCAGGTTTACACTTCCATACAAGATATACCAGACAACCAGAGAACTAAAGCTTTATTTCATGAAAATATGGCACTAGAAGATGTTTTACAAGTTTAGTTTAGTTGAATTCGGATAATAGCGTAGTATAAGGTATACGTGGTAAGCATTCCACTTTAAGTTTAATAATATATATGTATATACTTTATATGTGTTCATTACCATGAAATATTTCGTTTTGAATTGCCTACAAATTTACACAAATATCTTAACCCTAATAAGTTAATCATGTTTTGAGGAATAAGACTAAAATAATAAAAATAACGAAAAAAAACATTGACTATTTCAATATTACTTTCTTGTCATCACTGTACAGAATTAAAAAGTGTACAGAATTTCATCAGGAATACTCTACTACTTATTCTAATGATCATGTCAAAGCATATTGAAATTGACATCACACATTAATGCGATGCAATTTCAAGGTCTTAGATGGAGATCTGACTGTGTCTAGTAATACCCCTGTGCCATAATGAATTTTTGTATTTCGTCAACATTAGGCTTTGTATAAGATTTTATCCATGTATATCAATATTATTTAGTAGTGCTATATGAATTAGGCTGTGAATGAATTACTTATTATATATTATATAAAATATGGAAATTGGTTTAAATTGTGTGTAGTTGTACATAGATATTACTAGTTTATAGTTTGTTAATGCCTAGTTCACACCAAAGGCGAATGCCGCGCTTTAAATCGGCGAGCAAAGCGCCATCATTTTTGTTTACTTTTCCAAAAACATCATGATCTCCTAAGTAATGTTACGCTCTGATATGAATTGGTTACGCTTTGGGGACGAATAATTTCCTGATTTGATCAGGCCTTGTTACGCATTGATAAGCTTTATTACGCTTTAATCAATTATGACGCTTTAAATCACGCTCTGATACGATTATCAAGCTCTGTTACGCATTGGAAAATTTCGAGATAGCCGATTTCATGCCGCTTTTGATCAAGTGGTGACAGACCGTTAAGACTGGGGTCCCTGCTTTGAATAAAGCTCTGTTAAGCTTTCCTAAGCTTTGAGTCAAGTTTTGCTGCACTTTGTTACGCATTGTTAAGCTTTGATACGCTTTCGGCGCTTTAATCAATTTGTGACAGAGCGCCCAAAATTTTTAAACAGTTTAACATTTTTTGGCGCTCTTGCCGAATGTCCCGCTTTGCTCAAAGCTTTTCAACGATCTATTACGACCCTGGCGCTTTAGTCGAGCTTTAAAGCGCCATCACGCCGTTGGTGTGAACTGAGCATTAGAGTTAGTAATCCTCCATCATTCAAACATGTTGAAACATTTGATTCTCAATATCATGTAACTGAAGTTAAAATGAAAAATGTTTAATTTCTTCGTTTCGATTTGTTCCAGTAGAAAATGAGTTTTTTCAATACCATGATTGTAGTTAATTATTTAATTTAATCAGGTCACAATTTGACAAAGCATGTTGGAGCATTACTGACTCCAGTTTTTATTTTATTTTTCTTTTCATGCATTTAATCATAATCCAAATTTAATTTTTGATTTATATTCATTAAGTTTTGCGATATTCTATACCAAACTTTGAAAAGTTAGTAACACAGTTACAAACAATTAATTTGAAATTGCCAACTAGTTTTCATAGATTTTATAAGGTATGTAAGATAGAAATTGGCTTAAGAATAGGAATTGTATTGTAGATTTTTATGAAATATCGATTACTGAACTTATGAGGTTCATTAATTTAAAAAATTAAACAGACTTCAACTAGTTTAGTAATGTGCAATAAAAGTTATTTATCATGTGTTTCGCTCATTACATTTACAGCAATAAAGTTCTGTAGCTCACATAAAACTTCATTTTATTCCACACTGCACTTAAAGGGTGTAACGATGAATAGCACTCTAGGGGAGCAGGAATAAATAGCACTCAAAGGGACCATAGATAAAGAACACTCTGAAGGAGCACATATAGCACTCTCAAGGAACAGGATTAAATAGCATTCAGAGAGAGCAGGGATAAATAGCATCCTACAGGTGCAGGGAAAAATAAAACTCTTAGGGGAACAGGGATAAATAGCACTCCAGGAGGATGAATAGAATTCTGCGGGAGCAGGGATGAAAAGCACTCTTCAGATTCAGGGATAAATAGCACTCTAAGAGAGCAGAAATAAATAACATTATAGGAGAACGGATAAATAGAACTCCGAGAGAAGGGATAAATAGCACTCTGTGGGTGCAGGGATAAATAGCACTCCAGGGGAACATGGATAAATAGCATTCTGCGGGAGCAGGGATAAAAAGCACTCTTCGGATTAAGGGATAAATAGCACTCTAAGGGTGAAGGGATTAATAACACTGTAGGGGAACAGGAATAAATAGCACTCTAAGTGCGCAGGGATAAACAGCACCCTGAGAGAAGGGATAAATAGCACTCCAGGGGAACAAGGATAAATCGCACTCCAGGGGGAACAAGGATAAATCGCACTCCAGGGGTGTATAGCATTCTGCGGGAGCAGGGATAAAAAGCACTGTTCGGATTCGGGGTTAAATAGCACTGTAAGGGAGAAGGGATTAATAACACTGTAGGGGAACAGGGATAAATAGCACTCTAAAGGGTGCAGGGATAACAAGCACTCCAGGGGATAGCGATAAATAGCACTCAAATAAATAGCACTCAAAAGGCGCAGGGATCAATACCACTCGAGGAAAACAGGAAGAAATATCACTCTGAAGGAGATAAATAGCATTCTGTGGGTACAGGGATAAAAAGAACTCTGAAAGAGAACGGATGAATAGCACTCAGAGAGAAGGGATCAACAGGACTTTAAAAGTGCAGAGATACGTAGCACTCTGAAGGTGTACCAATATATAGCACTACAATGAATATATAGTTAATGACCTTTTATGGGAATTCTATTCTCGTTACACCATAACACTACAATGAAGCAGGGATAAATAACACTTATACAATGAAGCAGGAATAGATACACTCGAATGAAGCAGAAATAAACAGCACTAAAAGGGAGCTGGGAACAGGGATACAATGCACTCTTGAAGGTGCAGGGATAAATAACACTCTTGTGGGTGGAGGGTTAATAGCACTTTAAGGTTGCAGGGATAAATAACACTCTGAGGGAGCAGGGATACATAGCACTCTGGCGGAACAGAGATAAATAGCATTTTGAGAGATCTGTTATAAACAGAACTATGGGTGGTGCAGGGATGAATAGCACTCTGAGGGAACAGGGATAAATAGCACTCCAAGGGTGCAGAGATACATGGTACTATGGGAATGTATGGATAAATAGCATTCTGAGGGAGCAAGGATACATAGCACTCAAAGAGTGCAGGGATAAAAATCACTCAAAGGGGTGTATAAAACCATAAGATAGCAGGGAAAATAGCACCTTGAAGGTGCAGGGATAAAAACACTCTGAGGATGCAGAGATAAAAAGCACTATGAGTTTGTAGGGATAAATAGCACTCTAAGGAAACATAATAATTAATAATAAACAGCAATTCGAGGATGCAGAGATAAATAGTACTTTAAAGGAACAGGGAAAATAGCACTCTAAGGGACCCGGGATAAATAGCACTCCGAGGAAGCACCTGAAAAGCGAAATTCTTCAAAGAGGGGTCGTAGCAGCTCCAAGAAAATGAGACATTTTTGCCTGCCCTTGTCGTGCAGATATACCATCCGAAGAACGTGTAGGGCACGATTTGACCTTTATCTCAATGAGCCCCCTTTTGGCATTTCAAAGCTCTCTTTACCTCCATAGCTCATTCCTGTCTCAGTGTTCTAGAATTACCTTTTACCTCGATCATTTAATCTTAATGTCGCTTTCTCGGGACATTTCGACCCTAGATCCCTGGAACTCACCTATCAATGAGGACTATAGGCTAACCATTTCCAAGCTAACCTTGTGACATCATGTTTGACATCAATTGTTAAACTGTTGTGGAATGTTAGAGAAAATATTTTGAAATGACTCTAGCTTATTCGTGCTGAGCTAGATGATTTAATTCATCTGAGTAACCAAAATGACACAATTAAGTTGGGTTATATGCGTCCTACTTTCTGTTCCAGTTAAAAAGGGCATCGCTATGCAGCGGTCCTTTGACATCGATCTTTGACATTTTCAGCATTATTTTGCATCAACTGAAAAAGAAACTGTTAATCTTAAAAACTGAGTGATTTATGGTCCAGTGGTAGAAAATGAAAAATTCATTTGTATATTATACAAGAATCGAGTAAAAGACAATACCAGATATGAACGATTTGTTGTTCGCACGTTCACAGGAGGCACGTGTTTGAAAGTATGGATCTGCTAATCAGGTATATTTAAAACTCGAGATCTGAACAAAAGACTGATTAACTAAGAACAGCTTTTCCAGTTCAAATGATTAACACCGTTTCGTCGGGGTGTCGACTATCTAAATTAAATTACCACCAGGAGCCATTTGGTCGTTATATCCAAGTAGTTGCCAAGGAAAAGGTCCGAACAAACTGTGAACAGAGGATGGCTGTTTTTCATATAAAACAGAGTTGAACTCAAACACAATCATCACAGCATCCAGCAATATCCACCAAAAGACACAAGAAAGGCACTTAAAAGGTTGGTAACTTTTCATTCATATTTCTACTGTGATATTTGTTTCTTAAACGGCAAAAAGAGTACCGAATTAAAAGGTACTTGTCTTACGACAGATTCAAAACATAGCGCAGGCTTATGTCAACGAATGTGCGAACTAAAATCTATCGACTACTGGCAACTGCGATTACGGAGATCGTACCAAAACATGTGCAACTATAGTGACAAGTGCGATTTTCAGTGGTCGATTTGCCACAATTTGCTCTCAGATTCTCCGAAAAACAGCGTCGTCAGTTTTCAAGTTTATACAATGGCGCATAAAAGATGTCAAACCATTGACAACGCTATTGAATTCACATTAGAAATTAGAAAATCAGGAAAAAGAAATCCATGTGATATACAACCACTGAAGTTATAAGAGTTTGAGACGATTTGGTTTTGTAAGATGGTCATTTGTTCTTTAAAAATCAAATAACCATTTAACATGACACATCGA